CAAGGGCCGGATAACAGCAGGCAAAGGGCCGCAGCAGGCATCGGGCAACAGTTTGAAGACCACTGATGTAGCATTCATTTTCTGGAATCCATTTGCTTTTATCTCAAGTATGCAGGCAGGAGGGCGTATTTAGCTGAGAAAACCCCTCCTGAAGACTGCTGGGATGTATGACATCATTTGCCTAGGCCTGGAAACCAGGAAGTAAATGAAGGCATGTTAAAAAAAAATTTAAACAAGTACATACGATATACTTTACCATCTATTTACTAATTCTAGCAGCATCAGAATTAAAAACAGTCAATGTTGATCAAGAGAGTGAAGTTCTGCTTTAAGGTCACCTCCTAACCCCCTGCAGCAGTACAGGGATTAGCTATCCCTTTGTTCACTCTGTTCTCTCCTCCTGTGAGAATTCCCCTTAGCAACCCATATGTTTTGCATCACATCTAATTGGCTCCTGGTCCTGCTCCTCCCTCTCCCAGACTGCTGCGGTATAGGCCATTACAGGATATCAAGTACCTACACTAGTTACATTTAAAACACTGGACATTTACATTTTTGTTTTTACTAAACACATATCTGAATTAAAGTGTTACTAAACCCAGGACCCTGCATTCACTATATCTGGTCTTCCCGGACCCTGCATGCACTATATCTGGTCTTCCCGGACCCTGCATGCACTATATCTGGTCTTCCCGGACCCTGCATTCACTATATCTGGTCTTCCCCGGACCCTGCATGCACTATATCTGGTCTTCCCGGACCCTGCATTTACTATATCTGGTCTCCCCGGACCCTGCATTCACTATATCTGGTCTCCCCGGCCCTGCATTTACTATATCTGGTCTCCCCGGACCCTGCATTTACTATATCTGGTCTCCCGGACCCTGCATTCACTATATCTGGTCTCCCCTGACCCTGCATTCACTATATCTGGTCTCCTAGGACCCTGCATTCACTATATCTGGTCTCCCCGGACCCTGCATTCACTCTATCTGCTCTCCCCGGACCTGCATTCACTATATCTGGTCTCCCCGGACCCTGCATTCACTATATCTGGTCTCCCCGGACCCTGCATTCACTATATCTGGTCTCCCCGGACCCTGCATTCACTATATCCGCTCTCCCCGGACACTGCATTCACTATATCTGGTCTCCCCGGACCCTGCATTCACTATATCTGGTCTCCCCGGACCCTGCATTCACTATATCTGGTCTCCCCGGACCCTGCATTCACTATATCTGGTCTCCTAGGACCCTGCATTCACTATATCTGGTCTCCCAGGACCCTGCATTCACTATATCTGGTCTCCCACAGTACACACAACATGGAAGTGCAATTATTTTAGTAAATATAAACTGCTAAATACCTTTTCTCATCAGCTGTATACAGCAGTCTTGTGACTTCTATTTGTGTCCACCTGAGCACTGATTAATCTTGTAGGAGGAGTTTTCATTTCTGCTCTCACTGTCATATGAGGCTGCATGACTCCTGACCCGCAGTGCTGATTGGCTCTGTGCTGACCACATGCACCCTCCCAAAGAAAAAAACCTCTCTAGCAATACACACCAAACTGAGCATGTGCAGTGACTTCTAGAGCTCTGTACTATCCGCAGATGGATTGGGGACAGTAGAAGAAGGGGAGTATCAGAGAAGACAGGATCAAGCAGGCTGTCTACACAATGTAAATGATTAACCCCTTAGTTTCCACAGTGAGTATAATAACAAGCATGCTTTACTGCATATACAGACTGATTTTACTGCTGTGGGTTTAGTAACACTTTAATGCGTGTTTCTCCTTGGAGTTCAGCTTTAACCATTTCAGTTACAATATATATGATAGACTGCCCATACCTTTTTGCAGGTCCTATTTTTTTATACTTGTCACTGTTGACTAGGGCCCTAAGAGATATATTTGCATAATTCCTAACATTTGGCTTGAAACAACCAAGTAGTTTCTTATTTGCATATAACATTTGTTGCGTAGATGCCATATGGCTGCCTATTACTGTAGAACAATTTACTAACTGGAATTCTAACCCAATCTTGTATGGATCTTAAATGCATATGTTAGCTTCATCATGTACATTATAATGGTTATGTACTGGCACTGAATTAAAGCGGAGTTCCACCTGAAAAAAAAAAAAAGTCAGCAGCTACAAAAACTGTAGCTGCTAACTTTTAAAATACAGACATTTACCTGTCCCATGATCCAGCGGTGTCCTCGCCATGGCTGGTTTTACCAGCCGTCTTCTCTCCCCGCGCCGGCATCTTCAGTGTGGGCACTCGGCTGTGACAGCTTACGGATTCACAGCCGGGTGACCACTGCGCATGCGCGAGAAGCGCTGCGCGTTGTGAATGGCCCCGTAGTCTTCTGGGACCTGTCACGTGTCCCAGAAGACTACGGGGGGGAGGACAACTTCCGCTTCCAATCACCTAGGCGATCGCAGCAGAAGCAGGAGCGGGTACCCGCTCCCCAAAGGTGCCAATCCTTAATAGGGAGCGGGGGACAAAGGCTTAAAGCGGAATTTGTGCTTGCTGCATTGCATACATGTGATATTCATATCTATAGTATAATTTTTGGATTCCCTGATTGGGATTTACCATCATGGTAATAGCTTAATCAATTATATTTTATATTACGGTATGCCTATGGTATAATTTTTGGATACACCTCCTTTGGGAAGTGTTCACCTATGTGTCTGTGCTACAGGGACATTAGACTCTTGTAGTCATTTTTTCTGTTGCACATGCATTCAGACCGGGTTTGGTGTCATTTATATATGGTTTTAGGTCTGTGTGTATTGTGTCTCATACTGTGGTGATGGTGAACCAGGGCGATTGCCCATATGTCATATTTATATATGTGTAATAAAGCATAATTTTTGGAAATTTTTCTGAGTGTGTCACGTTCTGTTCATTATGTAGCCGCTTTTCTGTGAATCTCTTTTCACAAATCCCCTTTTTTATATGCCTCTTTTGGCTACTGAATGGAGACCAAATATTGGGTGACACGATAATTTATTCAACAACCTCTTAATAACTATCTTTAACTTAAAGCGGAACTTCCCCTTTTGGGTGGAGCTCTGCTTTAAGGTACAAATTTCCATCAAACATTACATAAATTTTTATCCTCCCAAAGGAGGGGTGCTCAGGACATGTTTTAACATCTTCCGAATGCCACATCCCTCCCAACTGCCAGGATCAGTAAGGTGTACTGAAAGTTCAAGGTTTGTTGGCTCTGCTGTACTGAACAATTGGGCCTCATGGCTAAATTGGTGCTTGTTGTGCCGTTGTCACCAGTCAAATACCATTGAGTGACGTGGCCAGGCTGGCACAATGGTTCCTATCCAAGCCACCAACAGTTAAATACCAATGAGTGAGGTTGCCAGGGCTGCACCATGGTTTCTATTCAAACCGTTAGTTGCGTTTCCATAAATTAAGGTTGCTGTTGAATTTCCTTGGGACGCCATAGTGATGATGAGCTGTTGGTAAAACATTCCAGCTGAAAATAATTTTAGGAAAACGATATACTAATGTATCAAAGGTATAAGAAGCTTCGGTGCCTTGCTTGGGTAAAGCACAGGTTCACTTTAAGAGTCTCTTCACTTCTACATGTCCACATTGCTCAATGCATTGATACGTGTTATGGTACCCATTCATTTTCATATGCAACCTCAGTGTGCATACACTAGCCAAAAAAAAAAAAGAAATGCACGTAGCAAAAAAGAAAGAAGAAATGGCGCAGGGCATACATGACTAGGCCCAGAGTGGGGAAGGAGGAACAGAAAGGGTTAAGGCAGATCCAAGGGGTTTGTTTTGATAGTGGGGGTATTTTGTTGGTGGAAGGTTGAGAGTAGGTGGGGTTTCCTGCACCTTAGGGTGGGGGGTTTCAGTGAGGGGGCGTCAGTTGAGCTGGAAGTCAGGAGTGTGAGCTTCCCTCCCACCCTCCCTGTTTTTGGTGAGTATTGGGTCCCTCCAGGTAAAGGGGGGTTATGTTGGTTCCTGGGCGGTTGTTGGTCTTTGGAGGCGGTTCTTATCTTGGAAGGTAAAAACAATGGTGTGGGACCCATCGGTGGTATGGGATGCCCGGGGACATTCCCAGTTAACCAAGGTTTAACTGGAAGGTGGTGGTGCTGCACTGCGGACGGTATGGTTGTCTCCGAGCTGGTTGGTTGCGGCTGGAGGCCTAGTGTATATGGTTGTCCGCAGGTGCATTTCGGATTGTTTGGGGGTGCCTTCGAAGACCAATAACAATTCTTTGGGTTTCTGTTATAAGGAATGGTTGGTGTATTTAAATTTGTGTTGTTAATAAAAGGCCATGTTGGCCATTTACTCCAAAATTGGTGTCATGTGTTTTGTAAGTATAATTGGTTAAGGGGAAAGGGGGGTTTGTACGGAACAGTCATGGTGGTAATGGGGAGTGGACAAGCCTATCTCTGGTCATGTACCTGAACCCATTTTTGTCAAAACACTGCATCTGTTTTCTGATGTGTGTACTGTGGTGCATTCAGCCCTGGATTCACACTGATGCAGTGCGGAATTCACAGAGTTTTCTGTGCAAATTCCTTACCGTATCAGAATCGCACCTTGTTAACTTAACAACACCCCAAAAGCGGTCCACAAAACGCGGCGCAATGTGCAGAATCTGATCGCATAGGTGTGAATACCCATGCGATACAATTCTAGCGCGGACCAAAAAAAGGGTCCTGCACCTTTTTGGTGCAGGTACGGTGCGATTAGAGTCATACAAAATGTATGGCTCAAATCGCACTGCACACAAATAACATGTGATTTGCACAGGAATGTGGTGCGGTTCCTTAGGGAACATAGAAAACGATTGTTGTCTTGTCGTTGAGCCTGCGTTGATCAGTGCCAAAAAGCATAGCTCCATGCATCTGGTGTGAACGAGCCCTTAATTCAGTGTTAGTAAGTAACCTGCAATGCTGATTTTTGAGAACACAAAAAAAAAACATTCTTTTTTGCTTTCTTTTTACCAAAGTGGTATCAATAGCGTGCTTGATGCACGATCCGTCGGGATGAAGATTTTCGAGGACTACGCTAGCTCCTGGTACTGGATTTTAATGTAAGTGGTAGATATTCCCTTTCCTTTGATAAAACAGTTAAAAGCAGGATATGATAAACCTGGCCATAATTATTTCCAGGTTGTGACAGTTTCTCCATGTACAACTGAATAAAAGATGTTTTTGATCTTAAAAATGGTCACATTTAACAAATCTGCTTGCTTTCAGTATGTTGAGTTTTTGGCAAAGGGTAAATAATTTAATTTACTGAAAAAGCGGCCAGAGCTGATAACGTATCTTTTTAGATTCTTTAGACGACTTTTTTGTAGCCATTTATAATTCTAAGTAAACATCCTGCTCTTGTGTTTTGCTTTTTTTTTCTTTTTTTTTTTCCCGGTAGAGCTCTCTTCATTGCAATGGTCATCAGCCTGTTGTTCCTGATTCTTCTGAGGTTTACTGCTGGGGTGTTTTTTTGGATTTTTATAGTTGGTGTTCTTGGAGTTGTTGGGTATGGTAAGTGCTGTTTATTTTTTTTTCTTTTTTAGAAATAACATTTCCCCACCTATTTCAAGGGGTGATATGATTCGGTAAATGAAAACATATGAAATGTTTTATATATAAAAAAAAATATCTTAATCAAAGGTTGCCTTATCATGCCTGTATGTCGGTTTTAATAAAAATCTGGCTTTTACAGTTTTAAATGCTTGTTTCATATTTCATGAAGGTATTTAAAGGACTAGTCTACCCAAGAGTGATATTTCAATTGTTGTTGGAGCCTGGTGGGCTAAGTTAGCCTCTGGCTTTTCACATGTCTTGAGTACACCAAGGCACTGTGCCTTCCATATGCAGCATAGTGGCTAAATGGTTAGCACTTCTGCCTGGTAGTACTAGGGTTGTTGGTTAGAATCCCAACCATGGCACCACCTGCCTGGAGTTTGCATGTTCTCCCTGTGCCTGTGTGGGTTTCCTCCCACACTCCAAAGATATGCTGGTAGGTTAATTGGATCCTGTCTAAAATTGCCCCGTGTATGTATGAATGTGAGTTAGGGGCCTTAGATTGTACACCCCTTGAGGGTTAGGGACTGATGTGAATGTACAATATATATATGTGTGTAAAGCACTGCATAAATTGATGATGCTATATAAGTACCTGAAATAAATACACCAACAGTGAGATCTCTATAATTCCCTCTACTTTGTGGGTTCCCATCCAGCTTTTCCTGTTATATTCTCTGTGATATTTTATTATTACAGGTACTTATATAGGACCATCAATTTATGCAGTGCTTTGCATATATATAGTACATTCACATAAGTCCCTAACCCTCAAGGGGCGTACAATCTAAGGTCCCTGACTTACATTCATACATACACATACTAGGGCCAATTTAGACAGGATACAATTAACCTACCAGCATGTCTTTGGAGTGTGGGAGGTAACTGGTGGAAACCCACACAGGCACAGAGAGAACATGCAAACTCTAGGCAGGTGGTGCCGTGGTTGTGATTTGAACCAACAACCGTAGTGCTGTCAGGCAGAAGTGCTAACCATTTAGCCACTGTGCTGCCCCCAAGAAATATAAAATAAATACAAATTCCAGCAGGTATTAAACTGTCTAGTGGATTAATTCTCCAAGACCAACCAGGAACAGAAATCATTTTGGATGGACTGAGCCATCAATATGCAGATACAGTATAGAGATCCTCCCTCTTGTGGTTTCATCTGTAGACCAGGTAGTTAGTCATCTAGAAGTGTTATCAGGGTACTAAAACAAAAGCAGAGCATACATGTGTACATCACAGTCTGAAACATTGGCCACAGCCTTCTCTCCCGGCCATTCTTCAATATTCTTTCATGCTTTTCTCGCTTCTCCCTTGCCTCCATCTTCTCATCTTGCTTGCCTTAACTCACTTGTCTTTATATTCTCTCTCCATCGTTTCCTCCTTCCTTGTTCCTTTGCACTGTCTGCCACATGGATATCTAAGGGAGTACAACTACGTCACCATCCCAAAAAAAAAAAAAAATTAAAAAAGGACCTTGCAAAAGATTAATAGCACTTACATTTCTCCTGGTTGGTGACTCCCATATCTACAGTCAATTATTTTTTATTGCGTTGTGGATAGTGCAGGTTTACATTTCAAAAGAAAGAGTCCCCTAAGCCGCATAACATGGCAAAACCCCATGCATGAGTGTGTGTGCCCCAAACCAGGCCACACCCTTCAATGCATATCGCTCCGCCCCCGGAGTTTAGTAATGGGGTTCCTTCCAGTTGAAGCTAGGAGCTGATTTCCACTCTCTCCCTGTTGAGTCTTCATAACAGGACATTAAGGGAAAGGACAAAGGCAAAAAAAAAGAGAGCTTTTAACGGACAAGTTCACTTTTAAAAAAAATAAAATGAATAAATGCATATTTTTTTTCAGGTGAACAAACTGACAGCCGCAAAGGATGTTGGTTCTTGTAGTTTTTCATTCACAGAACTCGCTGAATAAAGGATGTGGCTGGGCAGATAAAGCCGCACTGTTGCTTTTTTTTTTAATTGTGACAGCTAGCAGGGGAAAAGATGGGGAACCACACCACATTCCATGTCATTCTGTGCGGTGCGATTTGAGCCCATTCATTTTATGGCTCAAATCACACTGCATCCGCATCAAAAAGGCTGTTTTTTTATTTGCACTGGAACTGCGCATTGGTGTTTATACACCGTGTTTGTGACCTGCTTTTGGGGTGTCATTAACTTTCCATTGTCACCTGCAGCAGATTGCAGAACACAGTGTGATTGCTATGTGGTGCAGGAAACACACAGGAATTGCTGCATTTCCCGTACAGCATCAGTTTGAACTTAATGAATGTTGAGATATGCTCAGCTAGCCTTAAGCCCCAGTTCACACTGATGTGTGGGAAACACAACAATTCCTGTGTTCTGTGATCTGCTCTGGGTGTCAATGGAAAATTAATGACATCCCAAAAGCAGGTCGCAAACACAGTGCGTTTGCCTGAACTGGATCATATGGGTATAAACACACATGCGATCTGGCTCCATTGTGAATAAAATAAGCTGCCTACACCTTTTTGATATGGATGCGGTGTGATTTGAGCCATAAAATAAATGAGATTTGCACAGGAATGCGGTGCAATTCCTGTTTGATTTACATGCTTTCACAGTGCGAAGTTAGTCTCAAGAAAGTTTGATGTTTCCAACCAGACCTGACCCAAAAACATTTCCTGAGAGAAGTAAACAGCGAGGCACGTTCATTATACAACAGCAGTAAGCAGAACTTGCATATGTATGTTACATATTATACATGGGAGCACATTTTTAAAACAAATAACAAATTTACACCATATGGCCACACATATGTGGACGCCTTTCCTAATGATTAAGTTCAGGTGATTCCAGTGAAGAGTACAATTAATGCTACAGCATACAGTATGAAGACATTTCAGACAGTTGTGCACTCCCAGCCTTGTGGTCCTTGGGGAAGACCCTTTTCTGCTCCAACATGACTGTGCCAGCTCCATGAAGACATGTTCTGATAGGTTTGGTGTGGAGGAACTTGAGAGCCCTAACCTCAATCCTACTAAACACCTTTGAGATAAATTGGAATGCGGACTGTAAACTAGGTCTTCCAAACAATATCCATACCTGACCTCACAAAAGCCCACAGACACGCTCCAAAATTTTGTAAAAAGCCTTGGAAGAGTGGAGACTCTTATACGAGGTGGTACCAAAGAGTTTTGAGGCTAGCTCTGTTTACAAGAAAGTACTTTATTTATCTATGTTTACACACTATCATCTTCAAAATAGTCCCCTTGCACAGCAATACAGCTCTCCCAGCATTCCTACCACCTGGAATGTGTCCTGGAAGTCTTCTTTTCAAAATGTGTCAAGCTCCTTCTGCTATTCATGCTGGATCTCCACAATGTTGTCAAAACGGTGACCTTCAAGCTGGATCTTCATCTTTGGGAAGAGGGCAAAGTCTGCAGGAGCCAAATCTTGTGAGTAGGGTGGATGTGGAAGTGAGATCATTGCAGCCTTGGGATGAACTTGGCAGCAACACGGTGCATGTTCAAATCAAACGTGAGGATTGTCTGGACTGCTCCGTATGACACACTGACAATGGCAGCAGTGTTGTGGATTGTTCTCATCATGCAAAAGCTGCCAAATGGTTTTGACATTTCAACATTTTCAGGGGTTGAGCTTGTTGAAGGTATTCCCGATCTCTCGTTGTCTTAAAGTTATGTTCTTCCGCTATTGAAGCGTGAGTGCCACCTCAAACAACTCATTGCAGCATTGCCGTAAACTTGCTGAATCGTGTCAAATGTATCTGTGGCATATTTGCCCAGTTTCACATTTGCTCTTTGTTCTAACTTGTTGTCCATGATGAAATATCAGATGTGGTAACACACATGGTCAGAATAGTACCAGGTCTCCTATCCAGGTACTAACCAGGTACTACCCTGCTTAGCTTCTAAGATGAGATGAGATCAGGTGCATTCAGTGTGATGTGGCCGTATGTATGAAAGATGTAGAGATGAATTATAAAAGTTTGGCGAGGTGGTATATGACACCAAATATAGTACACAGACAGAATAGAGATAAATCACCTTTATGTTGGAGGGGTTGTGGGGAACAGGGCACGGTAGGTCACATTTTGGGTGGGAGTGTTATAAAATCCAAGAATACTGGGAAGAAATAGTCCAACAAATACAAGTATTAACGGGGACAGAAATATTAAAGGATCCAGGGATATGTCTTTTACATGCAACAGAGCTAACAGTAGAAAAATATAAACATTCTGGGTTATTGCAATATATGAATGCAGCAAAAAGTTTAATTCCTAAATTCTGGAAGGAAAAGGAAGCACCGAAAATAAGGGATTGGATTATGAGAGTATATATATATGGAATGGAGAAATTTTACCATTTAGAGGAAGATAAAATGGAAGGTTTTCGTGAGAAGTGGAAAAAGTGGAAGGACTTTAGGAAGGTTAAATTAATTGAAGGTTAAAATTAACGGAAAGTATATTGAAAACCTTAGGACTTCAAAAGGAGAGGATTGATGAGTGGGAGGGAGTAGGAGGGTAGGGAAAGGGGGGGAAGGGATGAGATTGGGAGAGAAAGGGGTGGGGGGGGGAGGTTTGTATTTGTAATTTATATGTTGTATTTTGGGTGAAAACATTTGAATAAGTGATGTTGAATTTTGTATATTGGAATGGAATAGATGAAATGAAAAATTTTATAAAATATTAATAAAAAAAAGTACCAGGTGCTACCAGATGGACACTGGGCGATGTCTTTTGGCACATTGACTTATGAAGGTCGGTGCTCCCTCTGACTGTGCATGCAGCCCTGTGCTGCCATCTGTTGGAGTGTTACAAAACTAGCTTAGAAACTTTTTGATACCACCTCGTATGTCTCCTCATCCAACCCGTAGCTGACCTCACAAATGTTCTTTTGGCTGGATGGGCACAAATTTCCATTGAGATACTGCTAAAGCCTTCCCAAAAGAGTTAAGAATAATATAGTAGCAAAGGATGACCAACTCCATACCCATGGTATTATTATACAGTAGGTGTATTGGTCAGGTGCTCACAAACTATACATTGCACATTAAGCTGATCACAATCACATGTACTGTATTTTCATTAAACAAAATAAATCTAAAAAGCATTATAGATGAAATTCAAGTTGTAATTCATTTTCTCTCTGTCTATACTGTACAGCTCATAGCACTGCACCTTCTCTTGGCTCCGTATATTTAGGTTGTTAAGAAACTGTTACAAAATGTTATGAAATCTACACCAAAAATATTTTCCAGCACATGTTCAATTTCTGAACTTTCTGAAAAAATGTGATCATTTTGTTAGGATTGAATGTATATAATACATCTCCCTATCTTTGCTCCCAGGAATTTGGCATTGTTACTGGGAATATGACAGCTTGAGAGGCGTCCCGGGATCTGACCTCACTATCTCTGACATTGGGCTGCAGACGGACTTCCGAGTCTACTTACAGCTCAGGGAAACATGGCTGGCATTCAGTGAGTATGTCTTTACAATCAATAATGCCAGGCAGGGCTAGAAGCAGCAAGTCCAGTAACAAACAGCAACCAATCAGATTTCACTTTACTGGAGTTCTAAAAGTGAAAGTAGATTTGTCATTGGTCACTCAGGATATTATTATTATACAGTATTTATATAGCGCTACAAGGTTTGCTCAGCGCTGTACATTATAGTGGGGGACAGAACATGAGACAATACAGTAACAAAACAAAACACGAGGGGGTCCAGGGCCCTGCTCTTTCGAGCTTACAATCTAGGAGGGAGGGGATAGTGGTACAGGAGGAAGTGGCTGTGGGGGATGGAGTGGTAGGAGGAGTGGAGGAGATCGGCTGTTAGGTGAGAGTGGGGTAGGCTTCCCTGAAGAGATGGGTTTTCAGGGTGCACCTAAAGGTGAGGAGGGTAGGTGACAGTCTGATGGATTGGGGTAGTGAGTTCCAGAGGATGGGGGAAGTCCTGGAGAAGTCCTGCATTCGGGCGTGGGAGGTGGAGACCAGGGAGCTAGAAAGTAGGAGGTCTTGTGAGGAGCAAAGATTACGGGTAGGGTGGTATTTGGGTATCAGGTCGGTGAGGTAGTTTGGGGCAGGATAATTACTTGTTGTGGTTGCTGTTTACAATGCATTAAAGTGGACCTATGACTAGATATATTTTTCTTAGGCAAGCCATAGACGGTGCAAATTTCTCTCCAGCAACCACGGGTTGACGGGAATCCCTCCTGCTGAGGCATTGTGTTCTCTGGGAGGGAGAAGCTGTCCCTGCTGGAGAACACAGTGATTATTGCTAGCGATAATTACATGTAAAATCCACCAGGCAGGTTGTACCCAAGTTAATCAACTGATCAACTTATGTACATTCAGCCTGCCCATACATGGTTCGAATCTCGGCCAGTTCAGGAGGAACTGTCTATGGCCGGCTTTCAGCACATGCATGGTCTGCTATCTGCAACACTTCAGGAATTTGTTGCCTCCCACAGAGATCACGCTACTTCAGCTGACAATGCATGTAATCTGTTTTTCTCTCCAAGACAGCCATCTTTGTTCAGGCATCCTCCTGCCTCATTTTTTACTGTTGTAGACTCTTATCCTGGCCAAGTAAAAGCAAGGCGTTGGATACAGATTTTCAGCGTCAATCAAATTATCTCTGAGCACACTAGCTCTATCTCAACAGCACTTCACAAATCTGGTGGTGGTGGGGGGTAAAACCTAGAGTTGAGAATATACGTATACACAGTCCAATGCGAGTGTCAAACAAATGTCCAAGAGTCCAGCATTTTAATGATAACATTGGTTCATAGCAGAAAAAAACAGCACATTTCAGAGGCCAAACAGACCCCCCACTAATCAGGGTTAGAAATATTGATTGTGCTTAAATACCAGATACCAGATATATCTGTACTGTGGATTTCTGTTTTGAGCAGTTTCAAAAGACAGGTTGAAGAAGAATCCTAGGTATGGATATTTTATACATAGTTACTTTGGTCCAGCTTGGATCAGTGGACCAACGTATATACCTTGTATGGCTGATCTAAATGGAAGCTGGAAATTACTGAAGTAGACATCACTACTCCATTGATCTCCGCTTGCTTCCAAGTGCCCTGTTGTATTCTGAATACAGGAGGCCAGACGCTTGGCACCAGCGCCATTCAGTGAATGCTTTGCACACTCTTCACTTTGTCCAATCACAGAATGCTTTGCACACTCTTCACCTTGTCCAATCACAGAATGCTTTGCACACTCTTCACCTTGTCCAATCACAGAATGCTTTGCATGCTCTCTACCATGTCCAATTAGAGAATGCTTTGCACGCTCTCCACCATGTCCAATTAGAGAATGCTTTGCACGCTCTCCACCATGTCCAATTAGAGAATGCTTTGCACGCTCTCCACCTCGTCCAATCAGAGAATTCTTTGCATTGATTAAGAAAATGCAAAGCATTATCTGAATGGCACCTGTGCCGATTGGCCAACCTCTTGTGTTCACAGTACAGCAGGGCAGCTGCTTGGCACGGGACCCTGAAGCAAGTGGAGATCGCTGGAGTAGCAGTTACTACTTTAGTGATTTCCAGTTTTCGGGGGGATCAGCCAGGTATGTTATATGCATTGATTCAAGCTCTAACTATGTATAAAATACACATACCTGGAATTCATCCTTAAGCCATTCTTAATAAAGGAAACTCCAACCGTGTGACCTGCTACAAAGTTAGAATTTTGCTGTCTTATTATTAGTGGAGAAGAGATTGAGAAAATGCTTCCTCCTGTCTGTATATTCAAGCAGCAAAGGCAATTTAGGGAACAGGCCAGGTAGAAGAAAGTATATAAAACAAAAAGATTTTTGGTCCAGTGTGTCAACATCCCCAGTGAGTGTCAGTGTGACTGGCGGGAGGAGAGCCGTCCTACGTGTCCCCAGGAGCAGTCCCTGACTGACAGAAGAAGGAGAGTGTTATCCATGTTGCTATAAGTTCCTCATTATTAGGAATTTGTTAACCTATGAAATGGTGCCAGCTGATCATGGCAATTGGAGGATGAGCAAAGAGTGTGATAATATCCATTTTGACTGATCTCCTTCCCATTTGGATCCACTTTATAAGTGATTTTAGCCAACCATGAGAATGGGAGGCATGGCTGTCTAGTGAGTGCACACCCAAAATGGGGAACGCCATCTTTATTGCACGTGGTGATCTTTTGGGAATTAGAAGAAATAATTTGGTGGAAAAGATTTTTTTTTATGGACTTTTAGTTTTTTCACATTTTTATGATCACTAATTTATTTATTTATTTATTTTTATATGCACATATATATTTAATTGTGCTACTGAATCACTTTGAAGCTTCTTTTTGTTGATCATAAAAAAAGTATACAGTTGCAAGAAAAAGTATGTGAACCCCTTGGGATTACGTGGAGTTTTGCATGAATTGGGCATAAAATGTGCACTGAACATCATCTAAGTCACAACAATAGAAGAACACAGTCTGCTGAACATAATACTACACAAACATTAGATGTTGCCATGGTTTAATTGCACATAACATGTAAACATTCACAGTGCAGGGAGGAAAAAGTATGTGAACCTTTGGACTTAATAACTGGTTGACCCTCCTTTGGCAGCAATAACCTCAACCAAATGTTTCCTGCAGTTGCAGTTCAGACCTGCACAACGATCTGGAGTAATTTTGGACCACTCCTCTTCACAAAACTGTTTCAGTGTAGCAATATTCTTGGGATGTCTGGTGTGAATCGCTCTCTTAAGGTCATGCCACAGGATTTCAATCGGGTTGAGGTCAGGACTCTGACTGGGCCACTCCAGAAGGCGTATTTTGTGCTGTTGCAGCCATTGTTTTGTTGAATTACTTGTATGCTTTGGGTCATTGTCCTGTTGCATCACCCATCCTCTGCGGAGCTTCAGTTGGCGGACAGATGGTCGTACGTTTTCCTGCAAAATGTCTTGATAAACTCTGGAATTCATTTTCCCATCAATGACAACAATCCGTCCAGGCCCTGAGGCAGCAAAGCAGCCCCAAACCATGATGCTCCCTCCGCCATGTTTTACAGTGGGGATGAGGTTTTGATGTTGGTGTGCTGTGCCTTTTTTTCTCTACACATAGTGTTGTGTGTTCTTCCCAAACAACTCAATCTTGGTTTCATCTGTCCACAGTATATTTTGCCAGTAGTGCTGTGGAACATCCAGGTGCTCTTTTGCAAACTTCAAACGTGCTGCAATATTCTTTTTGGACAGCAATGGCTTCCTCCGTGGTGTCCTCCCATGTACTCCATTCTTGTTTAATGTTTTCCTTATTGTAGATGTGTCAACAAAAATGTTAGCATGTGCCAGAGATTTCTGTAGGTCTTTAGCTGACACTCTGGGATTCTTCTTTACCTCATGCAGCATTCTGCGCTGTGCTCTTGCAGTCATTTTTACAGGACGACCACGCCTAGGGAGAGTAGCAACAGTGCTAAACTTTCTCCATTTGTAGACAGTCTGTCTTACCGTGGACACATGAACATCAAGGCTTTTGGAGATACTTTTGTAACCCTTTCCAGCTTCATGCAAGTCAACAATTCTTGATCGTAGGTCTTCTGAGAGCTCTTTTCTGCGAGGCATGGTTCACATCAGACAGTGCTTCTTGAAACCAGTAAACCCAAAACAGGTGTGTGTGTTTTTTGAGAGCAGGACAGCTGTCAGCAACACATCCAATATCATCACACTGATTGGAGTCAAGGTTGGCTCACTCCTGGCTCCAATTAGCTCTGGGAGAAGTCATTAAGCTAGGGCCTCACATACTTTTTCCTCCCTGCACTGTGAATGTTTACATGTTATGTGCAATTAAACCATGGCAACATCTAATGTTTGTGTAGTATTATGTTCAGCAGACTGTGTTCTTCTATTGTTGTGACTTAGATGACGTTCAGAGCACATTTTATGCCCAATTCATGCAAAACTCCACGTAATCCCAAGGGGTTCACATACTTTTTCTTGCAACTGTAGCTATACGGATCCCCTACCCCATGAATCAAAGATCCAACAACTCACCAATATAAGGTGCTGTCCTCGTAACCTAAGCACTATATTCCAAAAAATAGTTTGGCTAAGAGAAGTCCAAAAAAGGTTACCTCTGTGGGACCGTGTGTTTTTATCAAAAAAACTTTTATTGAAAAAGTTTACAAAAAGTTAAATAATAATCAAAAGATGAAAAATGCCTCCACTAAAGTACCTCCACTAAACATTAAAATATTCCATTAAAATATAACAAACTTGTCATAAAAAGTCTGGACAATGACTTACTAGACACACCTAGTCCATCTAAAAGGAACCACAGGTTCCCAGAGATTATATCACAAATATGATATCAGGACAGGAGACAGTAAATCTAGACTAGTGTTTCTCCACCTTTTTTCAGTCAAGGAACCCTACAAATGATGCACCATCTCGAGGCACCCAATATTAAAATGGAAAATTACTGAAACTCCTATCGAAATTGACTCGTATGAGCATGTGCTTAAGGGATGACCTGAATCTGAGTTTTCATTGTTCCTCCAACAGTGATTATCCTCTGCATTGTGGAAGTGATCATCATACTCATGCTGATCTTTTTAAGGAACCGAATCCGAATTGCCATCGCTCTCTTGCAAGAAGGTAGCAGGTAAGTTACTATGCAATTTTTTTACAGAAATAAAAACAAAGAAGACATACTGTATAAAGTAAAATCCTGCTAATTTGAGATGAGCAAATGTTTCAAAGTTTGTTTCATTGACAATTTCACCCATTCGGCTGGAGCAATTCATTTAACCAGGTCAGATATTCATTGGTTCCCTTTTTCAAATGTATTTATTTAATTTATTTTAGTTACTTTGCTCCTATCCCAGGAAAACTAATAAAGAGGTTCTTAAGCTTTGACTTGGCAGGGAGCGTCTCAGACCTTTGCCGAGAGACCAATGGTTTTACAATAGAGCAATTGATTCACCTGAAATGTATCCTTCCAAATTGAAAGTTCAGCTGGCCTTTAGCCCTGGTTCAAACTTGCCCGCACTGTGCTGACTGCCTGCGGGAATCGCATCTACTTCCGCACAGTCAACCACCCACAGCCCAATCGCACAGCTCTTATGAGACACGCAGGGCTGCCATTCATTCTTAATGGCACCCCAATGCATCTCAACCTGCAGACCGTTTCAAGTGTGGAAACCACAGGGAAATCACATGGTCAAACGCACCATGTGATTTCCCTGCGGCCCTGTTTTGGTTTTTTTTTTTTCAAAAAACAGAGGCACTGAAGCCCATGCAAATGAATGGGCTGCCATGCCCACAAAAACTGGAAAAATAACTCTTCCTGAAACAAGGCAGTCTGCCACTAGATATGATTGCAGATCATGTATGATAGAGGATTTGAAGAATCTGGCATCCGATGCCTGTAACAATCACATGTACTGTACAGTAGGTATATAAAAGCATAGAATCACCCCCCCCCCCCCTTTAAAATAATCACATTTTGTTGCTTTGCAGCCTGAAATGAAGACAGACACATTTTCGTTTTATCCAGCTTATTTACTCAGTGCAATTTATAATCCAAGTGAAAGATATAACACCAACAACATCTCAGAATTTGTTTTTAAAATTCAAAAACAGAATCACTGAGTTGTAAAAAGGATCCCCCCCCCCCTTGTGTCTGTATTTTGTTGAACCACCTTTTGCTTTAATTCCAGCCTTTGTTGGGATATGTCTCTACTGACTTTGCACATCTAGACTGCAATATTTGTCCACTCCACAGGTTTTCAATGGGGTTGAAGTCTGGGCTCTTGACTAGGCCATGCAAGGACATTCACCTTTTTCTCCTCCAACAACTGTGTGCTCATTGTTGCTGTGTGCTTTGGGTCATTGTCATGTTGGAAGGTAAACCTTCTTCCCATTGACAACATTCTGGCAGAGAACAGAGGATTTTCCTCAAGAATTTGATGATATTTTGCCCCATCCATTTTTCCTTCTATCCTGACAAGTACTCCAGTCTCTGATACAGAGAAACCCCCCATAACAGGATTTTACCACCTACATGTTTTCTGTAGGAATGGTGGTATTTGGATGGTGATCTGGATTGGATTTCCGTCAGACATATTGTTTAGTGTTGAGGCCAAATCATTCAATTTTAGTCTCATCTGACCAGAACACCTTTTTCCATGTGGCCTCAGAATCTTCAAGGTGCATTTTGGCAAAGCTCAGTAGTGACTACATGTGGCATTTCTTTAGGAGTGGCTTTTTTCTTGCAACCCTCCCAAACAAGACATATTTGTGGAGAATTTGTGATATTGTTGTCACATGTACACAATGACTGCTCCTTGTCATCAATTCCTGACACAGATTCAGAGTTGCTGTAGGCCTCTTGGTAGCCTCTCTAACCAGTTTTATCCTGGCTTCCAGTTTGGAGCGACGTCCTGATCCAGGGAGGGTCTGTGTTGTAAAATACCTTCCACGTCTTAATAATAGACTTCACTGTGCTTCTATGAATTGATAAAGCCTTTGAATTTTTTTGTATCCATCTCCTGACTTGAGCCTGTCCACAGCTTTATCCCAGAGATCTTCTGACAGTGCCTTGCCACCCATAGTTAATTGTTGGCTTCAGTTGCACTACCAGCGACTGAAATGCTCCAGGAAAGCTCTTTTTATGCTGAGCTAATCAAAATGACCATAGCTGGTCACAATTGAAAGTCAAATGGCTTTGTGTACCATTGAGAAGGCGATTAGCTACACCTGATTGAGTCATTTTTAGGAGCGTGTGGTCCTTTTTCCAAATCAGTGATTTTTGTTTTTGAATTTATTTCTTTTTTTCTGACATTTTGATGTTATATCATTCACTTGGATGTTATATAAATATAGCTGGTTAAAAGAAAGACTGTGTCTGTCTTCTTTGCAGGCTGCAAAGCAACAAAATGTGATTATTTTAAAGGGGGGTTGATTCTTTTCTATGCCCACTGTAACATTACTTTTCCTAATAATAAATGATCACTAAAAAATACACCAATGCCTCACATTTCTGGAATGAACAGCTTTTACCACTGAGCTGTAGATATGTGTTCATTTTATGTATTTTGCACACTTTCTTTGTCGGGTTTTTTTTTATCTTTTTTTTTTTAAATTTTGCTGAAAATGTTCATTTTATGATCTGATTAAGCAGCACATCCGTTATCAATCACTGAACAGGTTTTCAGCCTTTCATATTTGCATATTACATTATTCACAGGAAGAAAGACGATTAGGAGGATTAGTCAAGTGCCTGTAATTATCACCCAGCAGTGTTTGACATTACAAATTTCATATGACACAAATAGAGGTGACCAGAAGAGGGCGCTGTGTAGTCATGGTCTAAAATTGTTGGCTTGAATCCTTTGTTTGGCAATGTAACATGCTATGAAGATTGGTATCATTATTATTACTGGTATTACTAATGAAAAAAGGGACTCTAATTTTGGGACTCTGAACCTGATGTACGAGACCCTCATGTAAAAGGGGACTCTGATAGGGATTTTGTTCAGACATCTAATGTTTGTATATATGTGGCCCTCATAACGAAGAGTTTACGATCTCACATTGCAGATATACAGCTATGAGGTTGAAGGCTTTTTTTGTTTTTTTTAAAGCAGAATTAAATCCCAAACCTTAAAAGTAATATATTACAGCTTACCTGTCATTAGATGTGGTGGCTGCATTACCTTTTTTAGGCTTTTTCCCCTCTGTTGTCACCTGGTGGTCTGACCAGTAACACAGCTCCTGTGTTAGAGTGCCCCTACTCTGAAAGAAGAAGCACAGGGTGCACCTATGAACAGCAGCATTGTCAGTCTGGGGGGACGGGAGTGTTAGATGTACTAGCAGATTTAAATACAGTAATAAATTGAAACCAAACTCCAGCTCACACTTTATAATCAGTTAAAGCAAACAGGTTTTCTCCTTTTGGGATAAAAGTTTTAGTTGAATAAATAAAAGCTGATCACTGTAAGCACCCCTTCCAGTGGTAAATGGATTGTCTCATCCCTGTAACTGATACATCTGGAAGAGAGCTTGTTCTTGTGAAAACAACTGATTTACTGGCAAGATCACCAAATTAAAAAAAGAAGAAAGAAAGCCTAAAAAATGAAAAGGAATACAGCCATCACATCTATGAATTTGTAAACTGCAATATAATAAATGTTTCTTTTTGGGTTTATTACCGCTTTAAAGTAGAAGCAAACTCTCGTTTTCTATTTTTACCTAAGGTAAGCTTATAATAAAGCTTAACTGTTGGTATAATTAATACCTCCTAATTGTTCACCGTTTAGGAGATATTCTACAGAGCAGCAGCTGGTGACATCACCGGTGCATGCGCTCTGAAGGAACGGCATACTGGTACTGTTCCCTCTGAGCCATGTGCCAGGAGTGACGTCATTGGTGGCTCGGCCATCCAATCAGCCACAGCCCGTGAAAGGAAGATGGGTGAAAATGGAAGCCCTGTCAGTGATGACAGCGTGCCGTTGGAGGGCTTCTAAGGTAAGCCTTTCATAATGTGCTAGAATGCAGTGTATACTAGCACATTATGATAGTCACTTGCAGCAAGGAACTTTTTTTTTTTTTAATACCTTTAATACGTCTAATTATAATATTTATTTTTTTAATTCCTTTTCATAGTAGTATCCCCCAACTCCTGGAACACTACTGGCAGGGACACTGGCTGCTGCTTTCTATTATGAAAGGACCCCTTTGAACCCTGGTAGAAAACCCTCCCAGTCTTCTTTTTTATCCCTCTTCTTTTTTGGGAATGTGAAAAAAAGGGGATTTTATCCCAGAGTAATAGAACTGTTTGGGTTGATATAGATATTGTGTTTTTATATTATGTTACCCGTCACACCAATTATTAATATTCCTTACTAACTATTATAGCAAGGTCCTGAAGAAGAAGCATGGGAACATGTGAAATACGTTGACCATTTTGTAGTTTAAATAGTGTTAGAATGTTGAAGGAGAACCAAATAAAGTGTACACCAAGTTTTACAATTTTATTGTCCTTCAAATTCTAAACAATTAGATTGATGATGTCAGCTTTGTCTTTGTCTTTCATATCCTGTTTGACGCACACTGTCATTGTTATATGTCATAAATTGTTGCCTTCTTTAATTAAGGAATATATGAGCAGCACAGTGGCTAAAGTTCACCCACCTACTGAACGACATATCCGACTGGATGTCGCTCCATTTCCTCAAATTGAACCTTTCCAAAACCGAGCTCCTGATTTTATCCCCAGCCCGTGCCCCCCTCCCCCCACCCTCTCCATCACGACCAACAACGCCACCATCAGTCCCACCTCGCAAGCCAAAGTCCTAGGTGTCACTTTAGACTCAAACCTGTCCTTCCAACCCCATGTCCAATCGTTGGCAATGCAGGCTCCACCTCCGCAACATCTCCAAAATACGTTCGTTCCTAACCCCAGACACTACTAAACTACTCGTTCACTCCCTTATTATCTCACGTCTGGACTACTGCAACTCCCTTCTCACCGGCCTACCTCATCACAGACTATCCCCTCTTCAGTCTATCCTAAACTCAGCGGCCAGACTCATCCATCTTACCAACTGCTCCGCTTCTGCCACCCCCCTCTGTCATTCCCTCCACTGGCTCCCGATTGCCCAACGCATTAAATTCAAACTATTAACACTGACGTACAAAGCCATTCATAATGCTGCCCCAAACTATCTCACTGACCTGATACCCAAATACCACCCTACCCGTAATCTTCGCTCCTCACAAGACCTCCTACTTACTAGCTCCCTGCTCTCCCCCTCCCACGCCCGACTGCAGGATTTCTCCAGGGTTTCCCCCATCCTCTGGAACTCACTACCCCAATCCATCAGACTGTCACCTACCCTCCTCACCTTCAGGCGCTCCCTGAAAAACCCATCTCTTCAGGGAAGCCTACCCCGCCCTCACCTAACAGCCGATCTCCTCCACTCCTCTCACCACTCCATCCCCCACAGCCATTTCCTCCTGTACCACTATCCCCTCCCTCCTAGATTGTAAGCTCGAAAGAGCAGGGCCCTTGAACCCCTCGTGTTCTGTTTTTTACTGTATTGTCTCATGTACTGTCCCCCACTATAATGTACAGCGCTGAGCAAACCTTTTAGCGCTATATAAATACTGTATAATAATAATAATAAAATAGTTAGCACTTCCGCCTGGCAGTACTAGGGTTGTTGGTTCAAATCCTAACACGACACCACCTGCCTGGAGTTTGCATGTTCTCCCTGTGCCTGCATTGGTTTCCTCTGGGAACTCCAGTTTTCCTCCCACACTCCAAAGACATGCTGGTAGGTTAATTGGCTCCTGTCTAAATTGGCCCTAGTATGTGTATGTATGAATGTGAGTTAGGGACCTTAGATTGTACTCCCCTTGAGGGTTAGGGACTGATGTGAATGTACAATATATATGTAAAGCGCTGTGTATATTGATGGCGCTATATTAGTACCTGAAATAAATATTAAAAAAAGACATTGATGGAAAACCTGTTTTTTTAAACACAAATGTCACACTGCTGATTTGGAGAATAGAAATAAACAATTCTATTGGTGAAAGTTGTTTGTGTACTTAATGTATCACTGAAAACTGCACTTTGAGTTCTAAAATGAAGCCAAGCACCAACTGAGGCTGTGGATGGCTAGTTTAGCATGTCAGCTGTGTAACTTTGTAACATTTTATTTTTCAGAGCAATAGGATACATCATGTCTACGCTGTTTTACCCAATCATCACCTTCATCCTAATCGCCATCTGTATCTCATACTGGGCTGTCACCGCCGTGTATCCTTTTTATAAGCGCGCTGCATTGCACCTCTCTAGATTAAATCAGAGACTGGCAGCCAAGTGTAAACATATGGAAATTATCACTCCTTAATTCAGAGACAGATTCTTGGCTACGTCTGGGGAAGCTGTATACAAAATTATGGCCAACAAGACCCCATGCCAGTATGCAAACGCAATGTGTGTACCTGAAGTAAGTCAGGAGACTGTTCTATGGGAATTTATGAGGCTCGTTAGATGAGCGGCACATCCTAGTAAGATTATCTAAGCAGATGTCTAAGATGGCATCATTCCCCAGGCAGCAGATTTTCCTCTTATCTTCTTATTTCTCTCTTTATTGCTCTTCATTTTTTATCTTCTCTTTCTTTTCTTCTTCTACAGTATATTTTTTTCTGTTTTCCTTTTTTTTTTTCTTCTCTACACATTTAGGCTTTCTTCTATCCATTTTCTTTTCCTATCATCCTCATATTCTCCCTCCTACTCCTTCTTTCCTCTCTCCTCCTGCTCTCTCCCCCCCCCCCCCCCCCCCCCCTCACACATTTTCTGTCCTCCTTATGTCTCTTCACTCCCCTTTCCATCCTTATTCTCATCCTTCTATTTTTTCTGTTTTCTCTCCTCTCTTTCCAATCTCCTTTTCCCTCCTCTCCACTTTCCATTCTTCTGTTCTCACTCCTTTTTCTATCCTCTTTTTGTTCTCTTTTCTCCTCCTTTTGTTTTCTCATCCTTTCCTTTTTTGCTCCCTCTAGCCTCATTCTCTTCTCTCCTCTCTTCATTCTCCTATTCTTGTCTCTGCCCATTTTCCTACTTCTCTCCTCCCTCCCCCTCCCTTATCCTCCTTTTTCTCTGCTCCCATTATCCTCCTTCTCTTCTCTCCTCCCATTATCCTCTTTCTCTTCTCGCCCCCCAATTAATCCTTCTTCTCGTCTCTCCTCCCATTATCCTTCTCTCCTCCCCAGGGGCGGACTGACCATTTGGAAACTCGGGCACTGCCCGAGGGCCCGGGGTCAGTAGGGGGCCCCATGAGATGCCCCTGGTACCGTTTTCATAGCCTTTTTTTAGTTTGGGCAAGGACACAGGGGCCCCGTGATCCCCTATTGGGCCCCATGAGTTGTCAGTCTGCCCCTGCTCCTCCCATTATCCTCCACTTCTCCCTTTCCATTATTCTCCTTCTCTTCTCTCCTTCCATTATCCTCCTTTTCTTCTCTCCTTCCATTATCCTCCTTTTCTTCTCTCCTCCCATTATCCTCTGTCTCTTCTTTCCTCCCATTATCCTCCTTCTCTTCTCTCATTATCCTCCTTCTCTTCTCTCCTCCCATTATCCTCCTTCTCTTCTCTCATTATCCTCCTTCTCTTCTCTCCTCCCATTATCATCCTTCTCTTCTCTCATTATCCTCCTTCTCTTCTCTTCTCTCATTATCCTCCTTCTCTTCTCTTCTCCCATTATCCTCCTTCTCTTCTTGCCTCCCATTATCCTCCTTCTCTTCTTGCCTCCCATTATCCTCCTTCTCTTCTTGCCTCCCAATATCCTCCTTCTCTTCTCCCATTATCCTCCTTCTCTTCTCTCCTCCCATTATCCTCCTTCTCTCCTCCCATTATCCTCCTTCTCTTCTCTCCTCCCATTATCCTCCTTCTCTTCTTTTCTCTCATTATCCTCCTTCTCTTCTCTCCTCCCATTATCCTCTTTCTTCTCTTCTTCTCTCATTATCCTCCTTCTCTTCTCTTCTCCCATTATCCTCCTTCTCTTCTTGCCTCCCAATATCCTCCTTCTCTTCTCCTATTATCCTCCTTCTCTTCTCTCCTCCCATTATCCTCCTTCTCTTCTCTTCCTTTTCTTGCCTCCCATTATCCTCCTTCTCTTCTTGCCTCCCATTATCCTCCTTCTCTCCTCCCATTATCCTCCTTCTCTGCTCTCCTCCAGTTTTCCTCCTCTGCCCTTTCTATTATCCTCCTTCTATTTTCTCCTCTCATTATCCTCCTTCTCTCCTCCCATTATCCTCCTCTTCTCCATTTATATTATCCTCCTTCTCTTCTCTCCTCCATTAAACTTTTTTACCTTTCTTCCCATTCTCCTCTTTCTTCTCTATCATTCCTCCATCCTTTTTTTTTTCTCTTTTCTTCTCCTTCTGTACTTTCATTCCCTTCTTCTCTTCTTTTTTACTATCCTTCTCCACCCCCTATTTTTCTCTGTTCTCTTATGTATTTTGTTTTTTAATTAATTTTTCTTTTCTTTTTTTTTCTATATTTTAATTACATTGGACAAACATTACATAATAGTGCTATTAGCTGTGGCTCTCATGCAAATGTTATTTACCTTCCACCATGTCTGAAGTTGCCTTTCCTCAACACTAAAATGAAGTGGGCACTATTATATTTTATAGTCTTACTTATTTTTTTTTTTTCTCTAGACTTTCAATACCTCCAACGTGACCAAGCTGTGTCCGGCGGCTCAGTGTACTTTTGCATTTTATGGAGGGGAAGGTTTTTACTATAAATACATCCTGATCTTTCAGCTTTGCAATGTCTTTGTGTTCTTGTGGTTGGTGAATTTCTCCATCGCCCTTGGGCAGTGTACGCTGGCCGGTGCCTTCGCCTCCTACTACTGGGCATTTAAGAAACCCGCCGACATCCCCACATGTCCTCTCTTCTCATCATTTGGACGAGCAATAAGGTACCTGGAGCTGGGGAATAAGTTATAGCAAGTACAAAGCATTATCAGCACACAAACTTACAGCACATGTAATGTTTTATTGCATGTGTTATGCATTTATTGCAACCAAAAAATAGTAATTTACTGACCCCCAACCTCAACATTCCGATAGACATCGTCATCCTTCTCGACCTGAGTGGCCTTTGATACCATTTCTCATAGCATCCTCCTTGACAGATTAGCCTCCATTGCATTTACTGACACACCTCTGAACTGGTTTAAATCTCTCTCTGGCTGTGCTTAATTCATCCAACTCAAATCTTTTAAATCTCAACCATGTGCACTCTCTACTGGTGTGCCCCACGGTTGTGTCCTGGGGCCCCTTCTGCTCATAATCTTCTTCCTCTTGGTCTTATATTTCGTAAATTTAATATCCACTTTCATTGCTACGTGGATAACACGCAGCTCTACTTGTCCACTAAACTTACTACCAACCTTCCACCCAAATCCCTTACCGATTGTTTACAGGAAATCAAATCTTGGCTGTCTTCCAACTTTCTCAAATTAAACAGTGACAAAACTGAGGTTCTCCTCCTTGGTACGAAATCCACCATGACGAAGTTTAACAGTTTTTCAGTTACTATTGATAACTCCAGTCTTACCCTCCTCTCAGGTAAAGAGTCTGGGTGTCAACCTCGACAGCTCACATCAGTATTGTCACTTAGTCAGCATATTTCCCATCTACATAAGATTAATCGCCTCTGTCCATTTCTCACACCCAACAGCACTGCTGTTCTCATTCACAGTCTGGTCCATTCCTGGTGCCACCCGCAACCCTGATTTCCTACCCATCTTCAAATCATGTCTCAAAACTCATCTTTTTAAACTAGTGTACTCTATTTGATTTCATGGGGGTTTCTTTTGTAATTTAATTGTAGCACTCTCCTAGTTAGCTAGGGGGAGTTAGCTAATTATTTTTTAGTCAGAAGGGCTAAGTAGCAGCCTGGGCGATAGCCAGCTGGGTCAAATTTGGGTCAGGGCTGAGAGGCTCTGCAGATCAGTTTCCTTGATACTTCCCCCTGCTCTGGAATCTTGGAGAAGATTCTAGAAGCAGTGGGCAGGGGTGAGAATGGGCTGGTCTGCATACTCCGGGGAGTCTGGCCAATCCTCAGGCAGGAGGCATGGAATGGGACAAAGTATGACTGAGCTTACTCATTAGCAGGAGAGTTCAGGTGGAAGATGTGAGGAAGCTGAGATGCAGGAGCCTGGGTGGGGGCCCAGTGGGAAGGAGCCTATCTACAGGCAGGAAACTGGAAAGGACGATTCCATCTATGGAATGGTCATCAAGCCTTGGGAAATTATAGGAATCTGCTGGATCCAGAGGTCCCCTTAAGGATGGATTAGGTGCTCAGCCTGAGTACAGGGCTCCTTTCCTCTGGTTGTAGAAAATCACTGGGGGTGACCTGCAATCCTAAGAGCTCCAGTAAGGAGCCAAGAAACAGGTGCCCATAGTGTAGTATGCTCAAATATTTTAATGGAAATCAAATAAAATTACAGGGTAGTACAAGTGATATCTACAGATAAGCAGAGTATGCAGCACTAACCCTAACAAAGATGGCCACCGGGCTTTCTCGTAGCTCCGGCGGCAGTGACGTCACGCTCTGTCTGGTTCCTCCTAATGTTCCTGCATTACTAGTAGTGATAACACTATTATGGGAAATATGTTATGCAAATTAAAGCTTTATTAACAGTGCACTATAATGAGAACCTCGCATTTTTTTTTTTTTTGCTAGCATACTTTTATGTCTTTACTAGAGATGAGCGAATCGAACATGGCGAAGTGGAATTCGTTTCGAATATTGGGAAATATTCGATTCGCGCCGAATCCGAAAATTAGCCAACTTCGGATGCACAAATCGAATTTTCCCAAAAATGGCGGCGACATGTGTGGCGACGGAGCGGGGATCTCTGGGAAGGCGCGCAGACAAGGCGCGCTGACCCATAATGCATTCATTCATGACATGTGATCGCATTAGCCAATCAGCAGCCAGCCAGCCAGCACTGTGTAATGGTGGAGCTATAAATTGCGGCCATCTTACAATTCTCCATTAGCCTCCGGTCATTCAAGAGAGACAGACCTGTCTGTATTAGGGACAGAGTTAGGGCCAGAGAGACTTTAGGGCCACAGAATCGTTACTTAGGAACACAGAATCTTTACTTAGGGACACAGAATCGTTACTCAGGGACACAGAATTGTTACTCAGGGACACAGAATTGTTACTCAGGGACAGACACAGAATTGTTACTCAGGGACACAGAATTTTTACTCAGGGACACAGAATTGTTACTGAGGGACACAGAACACAGGGAAGAATTGTTACTCAGGGACACAGAATTGTTACTCAGGGACACAGAATTGTTACTCAGGGACACAGAATTGTTACTCAGGGACACAGAATTGTTACTCAGGGACACAGAATTGTTACTCAGGGACAGACACAGAATTGTTACTGAGGGACACAGAATCGTTACTCAGGGACACAGAATCGTTACTCGGGGACACAGAATTGTTACTCAGGGACACAGAATTGTTACTCAGGGGACACAGAATTGTTACTCAGGGACACAGAATTGTTACTCAGGGACACAGAATTGTTACTCAGGGACACAGAGGGACACAGAATCGTTACTCAGGGACACAGAATTGTTACTCAGGGACACAGAATTGTTACTCAGGGACACAGAATTGTTACTCAGGGACAGACACAGAATTGTTACTCAGGGACACAGAATTGTTACTCAGGGACACAGAATTGTTACTGAGGGACACAGAATTGTTACTCAGGGACACAGAATTGTTACTCAGGGACACAGAATTGTTACTCAGGGACACAGACACAGAATTGTTACTCAGGGACACAGAATTGTTACTCAGGGACACAGAATTGTTACTGAGGGACACAGAATCGTTACTCAGGGACACAGAATTGTTACTCAGGGACACAGAATCGTTACTCAGGGACACAGAAATCGTTACTCAGGGACACAGAATTGTTACTGAGGGACACAGAATTGTTACTGAGGGACACAGAATCGTTACTCAGGGACACAGAATTGTTACTCAGGGACACAGAATTGTTACTCAGGGACACAGAATTGTTACTCAGGGACAGACACAGAATTGTTACTCAGGGACACAGAATTGTTACTCAGGGACACAGAATCGTTACTGAGGGACACAGAATCGTTACTCAGGGACACAGAATCGTTACTCAGGGACACAGAATCGTTACTCAGGGACACAGAATTGTTACTCAGGGACACAGAATTGTTACTGAGGGACACAGAATCGTTACTGAGGGACACAGAATCGTTACTCAGGGACACAGAATCGTTACTCAGGGACACAGAATCGTTACTCAGGGACACAGAATCGTTTACTCAGGAACACAGAATTGTTACTCAGGGACACAGAATCGTTACTCAGGGACACAGAATCGTTGAATTAAAGAGTATGTCAGACAACACGCAGAGGAGTGGCAGAGGAGGCAATGTTTCAGGAGCGAGCAGACGTGGCAGCAGAGGAAGGGGTCGAGGCAGCACTAGTCGCAGCCAGAGGCCAGTGCTCCCGGTGTTATCCAGCGGTCGTGTCTCCACCGACAACCCTACCGTCATCGATTGGTTGGCTCGGTCGTCTTCCTCTTCCCAGGTCACCTCTGACACCTACAGCCAACGGTCGGTGGGTACGTCAGACACAACCGTTAGTTGGCATGGCCCGGGAGCAAGCCCACTGAAATCACGTGTCCTCTACCTGCCCCTGTCCTTTGGTGTTCCCTCACCAAGCGAAGTATCGCATGCTGTGGGCTCAGCCCCACTGTACAGTGAGGAAGAGCTAACAGAGGGCGGTCAGGAACGGGGGGAGACATCCGCCTCTTCAGCAGCCAGGCGAAGAAGTACTGGCGAGGAGAGTGGCTCGGTAGCCGGTCTAGAGACAGGTCTGTCTCCTGACCCACACGCAGCCGAGGGGGCTAGTAGTGAGGCGGAGACCCTAATTGATGATGATGAGGCTGATCGCACTTGGCAGCCTTGTCGTCATCTGCCAGGCCCGTAATCTGCCATGGGCCCCCGTACCGACTCCTCATGCTGCTGCCAGGCCCGTAATCTGTCATGGGCCCCTGTACTGCCTCCTCATGCTGCTGCCAGGTCCAGAGTGTGTCATGGGTCCCTGTACGGCCTCCCATTGCTGCTGTCTCCATCGCCACACTCTGCCATGTGCCACTTTCAGGTCTCCTCACACTGCTGGTGGGTTCCATTTTGTCATAGGGTGCTGGCAGATTACGGGCCTCCCATTGCTGCTGCCAGGCCCGTAATCTGTCATGGGCCCCTGTACCGCCTCCTCATGCTGCTGCCAGGTCCAGAGTGTGTCATGGGTCCCTGTACGGCCTCCCATTGCTGCTGTCTCCATCGCCACACTCTGCCATGTGCCACTTTCAGGTCTCCTTACACTGCTGGTGGGTTCCATTTTTGTAATAGGGTGCTGGCAGATTACGGGCCTCCCATTGCTGCTGCCAGGCCCGTAATCTGTCATGGGCCCCTGTACCGCCTCCTCATGCTGCTGCCAGGTCCAGAGTGTGTCATGGGTCCCTGTACGGCCTCCCATTGCTGCTGTCTCCATCGCCACACTCTGCCATGTGCCACTTTCAGTTCTCCTCACACTGCTGGTGGGTTCCATTTTGTCATAGGGTGCTGGCAGATTACGGGCCTCCCATTGCTGCTGCCAGGCCCGTAATCTGCCATGGGCCCCTGTACCGCCTCCTCATGCTGCTGCCAGGTCCAGAGTGTGTCATGGGTCCCTGTACGGCCTCCCATTGCTGCTGTCTCCATCGCCACACTCTGCCATGTGCCACTTTCAGGTCTCCTCACACTGCTGGTGGGTTCCATTTTGTCATAGGGTGCTGGCAGATTACGGGCCTCCCATTGCTGCTGCCAGGCCCGTAATCTGTCATGGGCCCCTGTACCGCCTCCTCATGCTGCTGCCAGGTCCAGAGTGTGTCATGGGTCCCTGTACGGCCTCCCATTGCTGCTGTCTCCATCGCCACACTCTGCCATGTGCCACTTTCAGGTCTCCTCACACTGCTGGTGGGTTCCATTTTGTCATAGGGTGCTGGCAGATTACGGGCCCCCCATTGCTGCTGCCAGGCCCGTAATCTGTCATGGGCCCCTGTACCGCCTCCTCATGCTGCTGCCAGGTCCAGAGCGTGTCATGGGTCCCTGTACGGCCTCCCATTGCTGCTGTCTCCATCGCCACACTCTGCCATGTGCCACTTTCAGGTCTCCTCACACTGCTGGTGGGTTCCATTTTGTCATAGGGTGCTGGCAGATTACGGGCCTCCCATTGCTGCTGCCAGGCCCGTAATCTGTCATGGGCCCCTGTACCCCGCCTCCTCATGCTGCTGCCAGGTCCAGAGTGTGTCATGGGTCCCTGTACGGCCTCCCATTGCTGCTGTCTCCATCGCCACACTCTGCCATGTGCCACTTTCAGGTCTCCTCACACTGCTGTGGGTTCCATTTTGTCATAGGGTGCTGGCAGATTACGGGCCTCCCATTAGGCTGCTGCCAGGCCCGTAATCTGTCATGGGCCCCTGTACCGCCTCCTCATGCTGCTGCCAGGTCCAGAGTGTGTCATGGGTCCCTGTACGGCCTCCCATTGCTGCTGTCTCCATCGCCACACTCTGCCATGTGCCACTTTCAGGTCTCCTCACACTGCTGGTGGGTTCCATTTTGTCATAGGGTGCTGGCAGATTACGGGCCTCCCATTGCTGCTGCCAGGCCCGTAATCTGTCATGGGCCCCTGTACCGCCTCCTCATGCTGCTGCCAGGTCCAGAGTGTGTCATGGGTCCCTGTACGGCCTCCCATTGCTGCTGTCTCCATCGCCACACTCTGCCATGTGCCACTTTCAGGTCTCCTCACACTGCTGGTGGGTTCCATTTTGTCATAGGGTGCTGGCAGATTACGGGCCTCCCATTGCTGCTGCCAGGCCCGTAATCTGCCATGGGCCCCCGTACCGACTCCTCATGCTGCTGCCAGGCCCGTAATCTGTCATGGGCCCCTGTACCGCCTCCTCATGCTGCTGCCAGGTCCAGAGTGTGTCATGGGTCCCTGTACGGCCTCCCATTGCTGCTGCCAGGCCCGTAATCTGCCATGGGCCCCCGTACCGACTCCTCATGCTGCTGCCAGGCCCGTAATCTGTCATGGGCCCCTGTACCGCCTCCTCATGCTGCTGCCAGGTCCAGAGTGTGTCATGGGTCCTGTACGGCCTCCCATTGCTGCTGTCTCCATCGCCACACTCTGCCATGTGCCACTTTCAGGTCTCCTCACACTGCTGGTGGGTTCCATTTTGTCATAGGGTGCTGGCAGATTACGGGCCTCCCATTGCTGCTGCCAGGCCCGTAATCTGTCATGGGCCCCTGTACCGCCTCCTCATGCTGCTGCCAGGTCCAGAGTGTGTCATGGGTCCCTGTACGGCCTCCCATTGCTGCTGTCTCCATCGCCACACTCTGCCATGTGCCACTTTCAGGTCTCCTCACACTGCTGGTGGGTTCCATTTTGTCATAGGGTGCTGGCAGATTACGGGCCTCCCATTGCTGCTGCCAGGCCCGTAATCTGCCATGGGCCCCCGTACCGACTCCTCATGCTGCTGCCAGGCCCGTAATCTGTCATGGGCCCCTGTACCGCCTCCTCATGCTGCTGCCAGGTCCAGAGTGTGTCATGGGTCCCTGTACGGCCTCCCATTGCTGCTGCCAGGCCCGTAATCTGCCATGGGCCCCCGTACCGACTCCTCATGCTGCTGCCAGGCCGTAATCTGTCATGGGCCCCTGTACCGCCTCCTCATGCTGCTGCCAGGTCCAGAGTGTGTCATGGGTCCCTGTACGGCCTCCCATTGCTGCTGTCTCCATCGCCACACTCTGCCATGTGCCACTTTCAGGTCTCCTCACACTGCTGGTGGGTTCCATTTTGTCATAGGGTGCTGTATGGCCTCCCATTGCTGCTGCCTCCACCGCCACACTGTGGCTCCACACTCTGGTTTTGGCCCCGTGACTGCCCAAATGAGTGAAGTGTGCGGTGATTCTAAGATCGACGGCACTCATCTGCATGTCATACTGACTGACAGTATTATTTCTCTTCCCCAGCAGACTCCAAGGGCATTTAAATTAAAGGTACAGTGTTCTGCACTAATATAAAGGCTCTCTGAAGCCTAGAAACACACCCTTTTTATAAGTTAAATTCGCAGCGAATATATTCGACTCGAATCCAATTTATTCCGTGAATTCGCCGAATCAGCCGAATCGAATTTTTGAATACTTCGCTCACCTCTAGTCTTTACCAATCTATTTTTGAGTCTGACCTAGAAGAGCTTCGCTATGTTCCTTGGGTAATATATGCACCTCATAAATCATAAACATGCAAGTTTCCATAGTGCTGGTTTTCCAAGGCAGGTTAAAGGCCAATTTCACTTTTCAGCTGGAAATTAAAAATAAATAATCTACCATGTGTATGAAGGCGGCTTTTGTTGCAATACTCCTCTCCAGTGCTGTCCCCTTCACCTGCTCGGTGATTCAGCACCAGGCCTCTTCTGAGTTGAATGATGCCCATCGTCATCCAACCAGCTTCCTATGAGTCCAAATGTTTTTGGACATGACCCTGGGGGTACGTTATCACACTGGCCTGGGCTCACAGTCCTCCACACTTCAGTGTGGTTCTTAGAGCTATCCATTGCCACCACTTGAGTAAGACAGGAGGAACCCTGCATGGGAAAAGTTATGTATAAATAAATTTTTATTGAAAAAGCGGGGGCTTCAGTGAGTGGAAGAGACAGGGAGGGAGTGGGAGAATGGGTGTCCCTTACTGGCTGATTGACTTAAAGTACTATATCAAGAGTAAAGAGCATGATAGCCAAGCAGCTAGCATTTGCAAAAGAAACAGCCAACTTTGGCAGCCTCCATACTTTTTTAGGGCACATTAAAGTTTTCGCAATGGTTTCCAAATGGGACCGGGGCTCTTCCATGAATTTCCTGGAACAGTTGGAACATAGGCCTGCAACCCCACCTCCACTTCTCTCAATACAATGCTGGGAACCTTTGAGATCTATTGAGTTGCAGCCTTCATAGGAGGGGAGTGAAAGTTGGTATTTGGATCTCTGGCACTTTGTGGTGCTCAGTTTATAGTATGTATTTCTAGTATTTTTGTTCTCATTAAATATTTAAATGTAATCTGAGACATTAGGAATTAATGTAATTATTTTCTGCATCAGGTATCACACTGGCTCACTAGCACTTGGCTCTCTCATCCTGGCACTTGTACAGTTTATTCGAATTATATTAGAATACTTAGACCACAAACTCAAAGGTAAGTCTGGATAAATTTTTACTCACATTTATGTAACTGAAAAACTGAATCATAAACCAAGCCTGAGATCTTCCCACTTAGGACAAAGCAATAGGTTCATTTTAATGTCCCCCTCCACAGTAGTATGTACTTACCTTTCCTTCCCACTCACCTCTCTGTTTAGCACTAAAATCCAAGGGAAATACCCAGTACCTCAAGGTATAAAGGAGTTTGTGACAGCACTGGGCCAATAAGCACTGTCATAGGGGAGTTCATATACTTGTGTAAGCTACGACTCTGGTGAACCATAGCTTACCCAGAGCTTTCCTAATTTTCCCAAAGGAAGAGGTGAGGGAGCAAAAGGAAGGTAAGGGTATAAGCATCTGTAGGGCTCTGTATAAAAGTGAACTTTTTCCTTTTTCCTTCATGGCAGCTTGTTCAACACCATAGCAGTGTAAGGCCTCATGCACACAAGCTTTTAGAAGCTCAAAAATGCGTATGTGTAAAATTTCCAGTGGAGTCGGTGCATTGGAATTTATCTGCACATTCGCCAGTGGTGTATTTCTCTGAACACGAGACTCATGGGTAAACCAATATGACTGTGTATAGCCATTTACCTGTATGACTGGCTGTACATGTCACCTGTGTCATTCCAAGAACAGGAAAGGGCCAAGAATTTGTCTCTACGTGTCCATGTGCTTGAGGTCTAAATGCTCTGCGGCACTCTGCTGTCCTCTAAAATCACGAGCAACCATGGGAGATAACAGCCAACCCTGTGTATGATTTCAAAGAACACTGGAGGACATACACTACACATTGCATATACAGTGTCTTGAAAAAGTATTCATTCCCCTTGAAATTTTCCACATTTTGTCATGTTACTTAGATTATTAGCTCCAACGAGCCGGGCCCTCTAATTCCTTTTGTACCAAATTGTATTGTAACTGTAATGTCTGCCTTCATTTTGTAAAGTGCTGCGCTAACTGTTGACGCTATATAAATCCTGTATATTAATATTTATAATGCTACAACCAAAAATGTAAATGTATTTTATTGGGATTTTATGTAATAGACCAACACAAAGTGGCACGTAATTGTAAAGTGGAAGGAAAATGATAAATGCACAGACACATTTGACAGACGTGTACGTGAGCACCTCCAAACACACTTTGTCTGTGTTTGTGCCGATCACCCACACTCAGGGGCGGACTGACCATTTGGAAACTCGGGCACTGCCCGAGGGCCCGGGGTCAGTAGGGGGCCCCATGAGATGCCCCTGGTACCTTTTTCATAGGCTTTTTTGAGTTTGGGCAAGGACCCAGGGACCCCATGATCCCCTATTGCCCGGGGCCCCATGAGTTGTCAGTCCGCCCCTGCCCACACTTGATGCCTGGGTTGCCGTTACGCAGCGCCTGGTGGCTCCAACTATATAAACCAATGGCTGAATCATAGCGTTCAGGCCTCATGAGAACGAGATCTTATTGACAAAATTGGACAGGGGGGTTCAGAACAGAAGTTTGTAAAGTTTAGCGTATGTGACTACTGAAAGTTTACATTTTTCATTTTATTTCCACCATTTTAGCTTCCCAGAATTCCTTTGCAAAATTTCTGTTGTGCTGCTTGAAATGCTGCTTCTGGTGCCTGGAAAAGTTCATAAAGTTTATAAACAGGAATGCCTATATTATGGTATGTATATATTCTGGGTAGAAATAAATGCAACTATTCTAAGCAGGCAGGGTAAAAATTATACCGCTGTGGACAAGAAGGAAGGTGAATGAAGGATTCTTCTTTCTCTCCTGCTAATCCCCATCCCATCTCAACTAACCCATGTCCCTTTAAGCACCACTTTGCTGTTTAAAGTATATGTCTTGCCATTAAATTGCATAGAGTGGGGAAGGGTTAGAACCCCTGTCAAGTTTTACTACTATCCAAGGCTCTATTAGAGGGATTTCCCCTCCTTTACTGCCCCAGTAACAGTGGTTACACCCAGATCCTGTCATATGGGCTAGATATGGCAAAAAGACACAGCGAAATATACCGGTAATACCACGGAGGACTCTCTTACCCTTTGAGAAGCTTAAACGTATCTACAACCTGCCTAATCGGATGTTCTTCCATTTTCTACAACTGCAGCACATGGTTGCTGCTCAATTCCCAACTTTCCTAATCAATAAGACTGACCCTTTGGAAAGTTATGTTAATAGAGGAAGCCCTCTCTAAACCTCTGTCCTCTATTTACTCCTAAAGCCTAGTACACACGCTCAGAAAATTGTACGAAAAAATTCCACTTTCGAAGCGATCGTACAATACATTATTCGAAGGGAAAAGCACAAAAATTTTAACTCGTACGATACCAGATCGTACAATTTTCATTAAATCAGTACAGTTTTTGTCCAAAAATACAATACAAATACATCACAATACATGACATCACTTTTTTTATTTTTAATCTTTCCTGCAAGAATTTTCGTAACCTTAGTAACCTTTTCATTATCAATATAAGACTAACATGATAAAAAAAAAACGGACTATGATTCGTCCAATATTCTCATCGTGTGTATGGGGCTTTACTATCTCCCTTGATCACTTCCAAAATAGATTCCCTTTATAATAAATGGCATACGGACATTCCTTCCCTCTAAGAAGACGACTGGGAGGACTGTCTTCTGCAATATGTCCTACCATGATCTCTGCCAGAGTCGCTTTATCCAACTGAAATCTATTCATAGAGTGTACTATACCCCTCAGTGATTGGCTGCAATTTATCTTGGCAGACTGGCGGCTTGCCCCTATTATGCTATGGCCAATGGCATGTTTGCTCATATATTTTGGTCTTGTTCAAAATTATATACTTTCTGGGCAGGGTTATTGGATACCATTAACATAGTTGGAAACTTGTCTGTCCCTATGGACCCCCTTAGTACTGCTGCTAGGACTCGCAGATTTTGTGGAGGCATCTAAACATGTCAAACTATTTATTTTCTTTTCGGTCTAATATGCTAGAAGGGAAATCCTGTTGAAATGAAAACTGTCTACTCTGTCCACGGGTTCTGACGAGAAGGAGGTAGTCAGTGGGGGTTCTTCCCTAAGCTTACATACATACAAAATTTGGGCTTGCTGGAGAGAGGTGCAGGGCATTACTGTTTAGATGTTGTTGATACCTCACAGTATACAACTGGGGGCTATCTGTTGTATCTTGTGTATTGTATCCTACCCACCCTGTTCTTTTCCTGCCATATGCCCTCCCCCCCTCAGCCCCCCTTCCCTCTCTTTTTTACTCACCTTTCCCTGTCCCTTCCTCCCTCATTCTCCTCTTCCCCTTACTTACAATACCCATCCACTCTCCTTGTCCCTCTTCTTTCAGCTATTCTCCAATCCATGGTAATGTCGGGTTCTTGCTTGCCACATTTCCCTAGGCTGTTTCTTAGACTAATTATAGAACTGTTTTGGATTAATGATTGCATTACTCCTAAGACCATTTATCTATGTATATGTGTATATTTTGTGTATATTTTGTTGTTTACTGACCACTTGATTTGGTTTATGTGTACCTTTACTTGTTCATACTGTTGAACATATTTAATAAATGCAACTGCTAAAAAAAAAACGGTTTCACCAAGGAACTGAGGAAAAATCTGCAACAAAGACACATTTTTTTTTTAAAGAAGAGTATGTCCCCATCAGCTTTTTATTTCTCACCAATATAAAACCTTATACAGCAGGAGGAGCAGAATAGTCCAACAATGTGGTAGTATTTTTCCAACTTGGTACTCAGAGGCTTCCATCATGTCGATCCTTCAAACAAAAACAAGTAAGAATGAAAAAATACAAGAGATGAGAATGCCTTTACATGTAGAATAGAGAGGGCTAGAACCCTGTCAGCTTTTGATTTCTCAGCAATAAAAAAAAACCCTGTAAAGCAAGAGAAGCAGAATAGTCCAACAGTTGGGTAGTATTCTTCCTAACTGGACTTCCAAAGCTGCCATCACATCAATCCCTGAAAACAAGGACAATATTGAAAAAGTACAAGGAACAGGAATACCTATATGAGTACCAGTAGTTTTTTGTTTATAGTAGAGTAGGGGAAGGCTATAACCCCTGTCAGTTTTTTATTTCTCAAAAATAAAAACCCCTGTAAAGAAGGAGGAGCAGAGTAGTCCTACAGCGAGGTTGTATTCTTCCATCTTGGTCTTCCAAGGCTGCCACCATGTTGATCCCTCAAAACAGGAACAAGCAACACTTAAAAAATACAAGGAACAGGAACACCTCTTTTTCAGTAGAGTAGAGGAAGTTTAGTACCCCATCAGCTTTTTATTTCTCAGCAATAAAAACCCCTATAAAGCAGGAGGAACAGAATAGTCCAACAGTGGAGTAATATTGTTCCAACTTGGTCCTCCAAGGCTATCATCACATTTAAGCAAGAATAAGCAACACTAAAAAAATACAAGGAACGGGAATGCCTCTACAGGTATCGATCGTTTTTTTTTGGTTTTTTTTTGTAGTAGAGTAGGAGAAGGCTAGATCCCCTGTTAGATTTTTATTTCTCAATAATAAAAACCCCTGTACCTGTAAAGCAGGAGGAACAGAATAGTCCAAAAGTGGTTAGTATTCCAACTTGGTCTCCCAAGGCTGCCACTGCATTGATCCCTGCAAACAGGAACAAGCAACGCTGAAAAAATAGGAAGGAATGGGAATACATGTAGAAGTAAATACCGGGTGTGTGTGTGTGTATATATATATATATATATATATATTTATTATATATTTTTTTTTATTAAGTAGAGTAGGGGAAGGCTAGAACCTCTGTCAGCTTTTTTTTTCTCAACAATAAAAACCCATGTAAAGAAGGAGGAGCAGGGAATACTCCAACAGTTCTTCCAACTGTTGGAGTATTGGTCCTCCAAAGCTACCATCACATCAATCCCTCCAAACAAGAGCAAGCAACACTGAAAAATCAGGAGGAACAGGAATGCCTCTACGAGTACGGAAGATTAAAAAAAAAAAAAAAAAGTAGTAAGTAGAATAAGGCTAGAACCCCTGTCAGCTTTTCATTTCTCAACAATAAAAACCCCTGTAAGGCAGGGGGGAGCATAATATGCGAACATTGGGATAGTATTCTTCCAACTTGGTCCTCCAAGCCTGCCACCACATTGATCCCTTTAAACAGGAACAAGCAACACTGAAAAATACAAGGAACAGTAACACCTCTATGAGTACCAGGGGCGGACTGACCATTTGGCTAAAACTCGGGCACTGCCATGAGGGCCCAGGGTCAGTAGGGGGCCCCATGAAATTCCCCTGGTACCTTTTTCATAGCATTTTTGAGTTTGGGCAAGGCCACACAGAGGCCCCATGATCCCCTATTGCCTGGGGCCCCATGAGTTGTCAACCCTCTTTGAGTACCAGTAGGATTTGTTTTAAGTAGAGTAGGGGAAGGCTAGAACCCTTGTCTTGGCTTTAAATTTCTCAGCAATAAAAAGCTGGAAGAGTAGAAAAGTACAAACAGTGGGTAGCATCCTTCCAATTTGGTCCTCTAAGGCTACCATCACATTCTGCCCAACAAGAACATGTAGCACTGAAAAAACATGAGGAGCAGGGGTGCCTCTTACGAGTACCTGGTATATTCAAATAAACGTATACTGCTCACTTTGGTATGTGGCTGGGATCATACACAACTGTGTACTGCCACAACCAGGCTGTACGAACAACATCCCCAGTTTGAAGGGGACCAGCAGTGTATCAATCTGCAGGTTATTCTTCAACACAGATTGACAGTGTATCTGGTAAAGAACATAATATTCTTCCTAAGTATATCGACTGTAGTGCACATTAAATGCCAACAATCTAAAGTAGCTGTCGGGTTGACAATCCACAGCAATAGCACTCTGCCTGTTTGATATCCACAGGGCTGGAAGAATCCTAAAACACAATCCCATAAGGATACTAGAATAGAAAACCTCCAATTAGGATATAAAACATTTAATAGAACGTGTTTTGAAGCACATATCACTCCCTTTACAGGAGAAATACCACAGCAATAATTTTTATTTCTGTGTCCCTGATGCAGACAAGTAAGGGGAAATTTCTCTCTAACAGATGCCTGTAAAAACAAGGCTAACCCCCCTCTAACCCTTCCTCACTCTATCCAAAACTTTAAAAAAGTTTTGGCTGGATATACACTTTAAGCCTGGGTTCACGCTTGTTCTGTCTCTCCAATCTAAGCATTGAAAGTGTGATCTCTGTAACTTACAGTTGTGATGAGATAGCAATAACTCCAATCTTAGTTGAATAACACAGGCAGTGACTCAATCCAGACGACACCTTGTAGATCTTGTGAAGTTTATTCCATAAACAGAGAATCTTACAACAATGAACATCAGATAGGTCAAAAGATCATAATGTGATCTGCTTCAATAAGACATGAGGCTTGAAGCTGAAATGCATTACTGGGAAAAAGGGTGGAGCTATCTATACAGCATGAACTAAACCAAAGGAAAGGGAGGAGCAGAGACAAAAAAAAAGAACACTTAAAGGCATATGACAGTCATGTGAAACATCACACTTGTGGCACCGGAACTGCCCCGCATTCCTGTGCAAATCACATGCGAATCGCGTGCGGTGCAATCGGAGCCATACATTATGTATGGCTCAAATCGCACCGCACCCGCACCAAAAAGGTGCAGGACCCTTTTTTTGGTCCGCACTAGAATCAGATCACATGGGTATTCACACCTATGTGATCTGGTTCTGCACATCGCACCTCGTTTTGCAGACCGATTTCGGGGTGTTGTTAACTCAACATATACACCCGCAGCAGTTTTCATGAACGGGGTGCGATTCTGATGCAGAATTTACACTGAAAACGCTGCAAATTCCGCACCAGGACTAAAGCAGAACTTCACACAAAAGGGGAAGTTACGCTTGTTTGTATCCTAACCCCCCTCCACTGCAACATTTGGCACTTTTTTGGGAGGAAGGGGGAGCGGGTAGCTGGTTTTTACGGGCACCCGCTCGCACTTCTGGTCACATGCACTACGGTGCCCTGAGCCGGAAGTTCGCCCCCCTCCTTCTCCTGCAGCCTTCTGGGACACTTTGCAAGTCCCAGAAGACTGCTAGACCATTCACAATGCACAGCACGCCTTGTGCATGCGCAGTAGGAAACCCTTACTTAAGAGGCCAGCTCCTGCACCCAAAGCCAATTGAAGAAGTGGATCAAGTGAGGACATCGCTGGATCCCTGGACAGGTAAGTGTCCTCATATTAAAAGTCAGCAGCTACAGGATTTTTTTGTGGGAGCCCGGAGCTCCGCTTTAATGTATCTTACAGTGTTAAAGTGACACTAAACAGTATCCTTATTATCCAAAAATAATCCATACACATCCACTACATAATGGTACTCCAATCTATTTTCCATGAAATTGTTTCTTACTGTGGTTTTCTGCCTCCTTGTAATGTCCTCATTTCCCATAGTCTATAGTCCATCTTGAGAGAGTGGCTACTACTACGTACAGCGGGACCATGGAGAATGACTGTACCCACCTTCTAACAGAAAATCAGATTACAGCAGCAAAGAAAAGGGATTTGGAGATTTGGAGGAGGCTGAATGCAATAGAAGGAACATTTCTGAATTAATACATACTTGAATAGAATTTTATTTTGAACTAGGGTTTGGTGTCATTTAATATAGTATTTTAAAAATATTTTATAGGAAAGTTATGAAAAAAAATATTTATACAGAAGAAAAATGTTGTGTATTGCATCATAGCAGTCCTTAGATGAGTTGATTGCATTCATTTTCTTTAAAGTGATACTAAAGTTTTTTTTTTTTTTTTAAATAAAAAACATGTCTATACTTACCTGATGTGTGCAGTGGTTTTGCACAGAGCAGCCTGGATCCTCCTTTTCTTGGGTCCCCTGCCGGCGTTCCTGGCCTCTCCTGCTTGTTGGGTGCCCCCACAGCAAGCAGCTTGCTAGGGGGGCATCCGCTTCTCCATGCGTCCATTCACACATAGAGCCGCGGCTCGGCCCCGCCCCTCCCTCTCCTGATTGGCTCACTGGCTGTGATTTACAGCAGCGGGAACCAATGGCTCCTGCTGCTGCCTCAGCCAATCAGGAGTGAGAGTCCCTGGAGAACCAGGGCTCAGATAAAGGATGGGGGGGCTGCTACACACAAAGGTTTGTTTACCTTTATGTATAGAATGCATAAAGGTAGAAAATGTTGAGCCTTTAGAACTACTTTAAGGCTAAGTACAGAAAAACTCGCTTACAATGTGATCAGCTTTCCCAGCTATCTTCTGTGAGCTACAAAACCTCCTCCCCTCTATGTAATGGAGATAAGGAGAGGGGCAGGGGTGTTTTGTAGTCCAAATCAGGAGAGCAACCTAGGGTGACAATGCTGCTCCTTCACACAGCACAGTGAGTAAGTGTGCACCCAGTGGTGTATTTAGGTGTCATGCTGCCCTAGGCAACAAAAAAATTGTCCCCCCCCCCCATAGAGAGATCCTGACACCAAGCAGCACCCCCCACCCCCATGAAGAGAGCCTGACATTGACTAACAACATCCCAGCACCCACTACCACCCGAGAGAGTCTTCCACTACCACCACCCCCCATACACTGGCAACGCCCCCCTGACCCTGCAAGAGAGAAGACACTCACCTTCATAGCTCTGGGAACAAGAGTCAGGCTCTACATACACCAACAAACAGCCAGCAGCCTCTCTCAGATCCCACCCGGTCCCCATGCTGCGTGTGTCCCTTCTTCCATCACTTCCTTTTGGGGGGCGATGTCCCCCCCTGCAAAAATGCCGCTGCCCCCCTGAAATGTGCTGCTGCCCCCCTGAAAAATGCCTTGTTTGCATTGTGGTAAATACACCCCTGTGTGCACCCTAAGACAGGAACTGTGTTATGGGCAGGATCACCAGGTGAAAATGAAGGAAAGGGCCTAAAATAGGAAAGCTAATGCAGCCACCACATCTAAGTGGCAATATTTGAAAAGCATATTTTTTGGTTTAGATACAATTTAAAAAGTAATGAGAAACAGAGCAGTCAAGCAGCCCCAAAATGTTTCTGTCCTATGTCCTAGCCACAGGTCAGGCCTGATGACATTTGTCCTATAGACTTTTAGTATTGGGATGTCTCTGGGTGACGGTCAGATCTTCTCTGTTTCTTGCAGATTGCTATTTATGGAAAAAACTTCTGCACATCAGCGAGAGATGCGTTTTTCTTATTGATGAGGAATGTTGTGCGGTAAGTTGTGCGTCGTGTAATAGCATTGTATTCATAAAAGCATTTGATTACATTAGAAAAGGAAATATCTGTTAAGCCCAGGATCACACATGTGCAGGTCGGGAACACGTGTATAATTGCGCATGTTCCCAACCCACAGGCAGAGCACGCTGCTCGTTGGCATACAATCATTCATTCTTGATGGCACCTCCACGCATCAGAAAACCTGTTGTGCGTTCCCATGATAGAAACTGTGCAGCTGTTCTTCTAACCCCCCAGGCGGTATTCCCGAGTGTAGCTCGGGGTAAAATTTCAGTACCAAAAGCGGTAACCCCGAGCTACACTCGGCTTACCATGCGGCGCTGCATAGGGAGTCCCTGCAGAGCTTACCTTGTCCTTCGCTCCCGCGATGTGTCCCCTGCAGCGTCCCCGGCCATCTCCTCCGGCTGATGCCGGCATCCGGCTTCTGTGTTCCGGTCCCTGTGACCTCGGGACGTACGGGCGCCGCCGGCGGCGGGAAATTTGAAAATTTTTAAAAATTGTCATTTTTTTCAAAACGATTTTACATAGTAAAACATTGCTGTTTCAAACCATTTCACATACATTTTGTCCCGAGTGCTCTGTCCTGTCCCCTGTCTGCATTTTTACTGTTCTTTCTGCCTGGAAACTTAGAAACGTCCATGGCGTCCAAAAAGTGTCCCTTTAGGTCAAAAGTGGTTTTAGACCGGCTAGAGAACAGCGATAGTAAATCAGAACCACTTGCAGAATTGAGTGATAATGATTCGTGGGGAAATTCGTCATCAGACACTGAAAACGATTCTGCGACTTTGCGCTATATTTCAAATTTTTGTGTTTTTGGTTTGATTATATTATTGAATTAAATGTAATATTATTATATTATTATTTTTTATGATTATTTATTAAATTATAATTTATGATTTTGTTTTTCAAATTTTATCATACCCGGGATGTTTAATAGACTCTTGTTCAGACAGATTTCAGTGAGTTATTCCTAAAAATTACAGCCTACAATAAAAAAAACTACATATTTCCATGCAAAATAATGGTACCGCTTTCAGCACCAAAAATCTGAAATAATCATACCGCCAGGGAGGTTAAAAAAGGGTTGGGTACTTTTTTCAATTCTTTTTTCCTGCTTTCAAATTCATGGGCTGCTATGTCTGCGCAAAACACTGACGCATGACCTGCACAGATGTGAACTTACTCTTAATCTGGATTGAACATTACTATATGTCCAGACAGCATCAAGCAGTATCTGCTGGGACTTGTAGTTCCACAATCGCTGATGTGCTGCAGGTTTTGGAAGCCTACAAAAGCAATTGAAAATTTCCAGATTGGCAACTATTATTCTTAAAATGATGATTATTATTAAAGTGGAACTAAACCCATCAATTTAAGGGTCCTTTCACACGGAGTGGATCCTCTTGCTCACCGGGGGTATCTCTCCGCTGATCAACGCTGAGCAAGTGGATAACAGATGCTGCTGCAGAGCAGACACAGAGCTGCTCGCTTTCCTCAATGGGCGGTCAGATGAAAACGGACCGCCTGTCCGTTTTCATCCGATCCGCCGGACGGAAGGGGAATTGGATCGCCATCCGCCCCTTTTTGGCGGATCGGATGTCGGCGGGTGTAAACGGACCTATGTCCGTGTACACCCGCTGCTCCATAGAAGAGAATAAAGGTTCCGATCCTGAAAATGGGCAGAATGAGGAAAGAAAAAACAGAGGGCGCACAGGCCTAGTGCATTACCATAAAAAATGTTTAATAAAAAATAAAGTATGTGTTGTACTCACAAATGACAATATAGTCAAGGCACATCATAAAGAACAGCTGGGTCAACACCGCGCTGAGTAACAGTCCGCAATAGGGAGTGTAGACATCCAAAAGGCTGACGCGTTTCGAGGACTTGCCTCTTCCTCAGAGCCTGAAAACGGGCAGGCGGACCCGATCGGAACGTCCGTGTGAAAGAGCCCTTACAGATTCACGCAGCGGGAATGTAACTGTCACATTGGCTTGTGCTTTCAACCAAACTGTCAAACCATCAAAAGGCTGGTAATAAATATATGCTAGTGTGGTGCCCATGTACTACAGTACATCTTTCCTAAATGCATTACAAAAATTCAATTAAAAATGTGTAAATTAACTAAATAAAATATAATCCTCCAAAACTACCTATGATGCAAGAAAAAAACACACATTGGGGAGATAATTTGGAATTTATCAGAATATTTAGCAACCTGTAAGAGGGAGGTGTATTGTAGTACATATGATTTATTTTTCACCTTAGGTAGTTTTAGAAGATTTAAATTTCTTTCGTTCATTTACACGGTTTTATACAAATTTTGTAATGCACTTGGGGAAGGTGTATTTTAGAACTCGAGCGCCACACTTGCATATATTTTATATTTTCATTGTATGTCCCTATAGGACATAAAACTGTGTGTTGGCAATCGTATTAGATTGATATTTAATAGCACGGGAGCAATCACCCATCATCAACTGGCTGATGTCATAACTGATCACATGTATAGCAACATGGCAGTTGAAGATCAAACTTGGCTGAAAATGATGGGAGGGTTTATTTCTTTTAAAATAATAATAATAACAGTGAATAAATGTGACCTGGTATCAACCTCTTCCAGTCCTTGTACTGCAGGGTGGGATTGTAAGAGAAAGAAGCATCACAAGGATCCAATTAGTTCATGTGCTGACAAGAAGCATGCTGATAGGAGCTGAAGGCCGTGAGAAACTCATCACTGTGCTGCTTCTTCCATTCACATGCAGGGGCAGGCCCTGGATGACCTGGGCTCTGAAGAAGTGGGTTGAGTGATGCTGGCCATCCAACAGAGGACATCTAGTGAAAGTGGTAGTACTATGGGGGAAATTTCCAGACTTTTTTTTGTTCTTTTAATTGGCCATTCAATTTATCTTGTTTTTGGCTGGAGTTCTCCTGTAAGTGGAAAAACAATGGATGTCTCCAACCGAAGTACCTATGACCTCGAGCACAGTGGCAGCTATAAATGTCTCACATATATCTCTAAGCATTGCAGTGTCATTTGGATTCACTTGGTGTCATCTTTACTTCCGCAGAGTTGCTGTTCTGGATAAAGTCACAGATTTTTTGCTTTTCCTTGGCAAAGTTCTTGTTGCAGGGTCTGTCGGTAAGTGATTGCTGTATATTTTAGCAAACAACAGACCTGTCTTTACAGGTGAGAAAATGTGTGCTTTTCTGTGATGTCTGCCCACAGAGGGCTTTAGCTTGTTCCTGGATGAATTTGGGTCAGGAGAGCAGAAGTAAGTGCACTTCTGTGACCCACAGGAGAAATATGGCCAAAAAGAGCTTTGGCCATACTTCTCCTTTAAGTGGTGCATGTACTAGGAGGGACTCAAAGTGGCACAATCACCAAAATAAACTTTTGGGGGCACTTTTCAAGGGAACTTCCTTGAGCAATGGTGGATCTTGACCTCCTACCCACAGCAACCATCAAAGCACTTTCCCAATGACATCCACAGCAAGGGGTCATGATTGTAATGGCTATTATTGTAAGATATCCCTTCTATGCTGACCATCAATGGAGGAGGGCCCTTTTTGTGAGGGAACTTCTTTGAGCATTGGTGGATCTTGACCTCCCACCTACACCAACCATCAAGGCACTTTCCCAATGACATCCAAAGCAAGGGCCACAATTATAATGACTATCATTGTAAGAGGTCCCTTCTATGCTGACCATCAATAGAAGATGCCCTTTTTGTGGGGGAACTTCTTTGAGCTGTGATGGATCTTGATCTCCCACCTACACCAATCATCAAAGTATGGGGGCAATTTTGGACTGACATCCAATGTGAGGGGTCCCTTCTACACTGGCCATCAATGCAAGAGGGCACTTTTTTTGAGGGAACTTCTTTGAGCAATGGTGGATCTTGATCTCCCACGTACACTAACCATCAAAGTATGGGGGCAATTTTGAACTGACATCAACGTGAGGGGTCTCTTCTACACTGACCATCAATGGAAGAGGGCCCTTTTCTGAGGGAACTTCCTGGAGCAGTGGTGGATATTGATCTCCCACTCACACCATGAATAATTTTTGATTGTCCAGAAGCAAAATAGCAGCAGAGCGTACTATTAATCAATTCACTTTGGTGATTGTGCCATTTTAAAACTCTCCAAGTATACACAACATTTGAGCCCTGAAGAAGGGGAAGACCTTTTGCACCCCTGAATTGTGCTGTTTTGTGTTGTCTTGTATTTGACAATCATTACGAAAAGATTTCAGAATCTCTTTTGGCACTCTTTTTGGACTTTTTCCAATGAAAAAATAAAGGGCATGCAAGAAGCGTTGAGACTTTAAGATTAGTTTATACGAAGTAGCGAGGGGGCAAAAACATTTGAAGAGCCCACTGGCTTAGGTTAGGCTGCTCACAATAGACAAGGCTACCTTCTGGTGGGTACCCCAGCAGTATACCAGAAAAAATGTGCATACATGGAAGAAGTGCCAGACCAAAAGATAAGAGTCCAATTTTATTGATTGGTATTGTACTAAACTGTCTTTTAATACAATACCAATAAATTAAATTGGACTATTTTATCTTTTGGTCTGGTGCTCCTTCCATATATATGCATGTTTTCTTATTGGACTTTTTGTTGTATCTGAATTACAAACCTTTAGGCCCATCATTTCAGGGTTACCCTGTTTGAGCAACCTTAACGTGATTGTAAAGGGACACGTTTAGAAAAAAAAAACACACAAACAAACATGTTATACTTACCAGCTCTGTGCTATAGTTTTTCACAGAGTGTCCCCGATCCTCCTTTTCTTGGGTACCCTGTAGGCTCTGGCTTCTCCACTAAGTGGTGTGCTACGGGGGCACTCATGCGGGTTCACTCCTGTGCCACAGTCTGTGTGTCCATTGAAACACACAGTGTGACTGGGGCCTGCCCCCTGCTCTCTGCTCATTGGCTGTGATTGACAGCAGCAGCCAATGGCTCCCGCTGCTGTGTCTGAGTCAGTGAAGGGAGAGAAAGAAGGAGCGATCCTGCTCTCATGCCCAGCGATGGATCAAGATGGGGCTCAGGTAAGTATATGGGGAGCTGGAGGGGGGAGAGCTGCACACAGAAGGTTTTGTACCCTAATGCATTAAGGTAAAAACCTTCTGACTTTAGAAGCACTTTAATGGAACCATTGGGCTCTATCTGAATTATATTGACCTCCTTCCATCACTATCTATTGATGTGTTGAATCCAGCACATCTGCTCCTGTATACAGTATATAGTAGGCAGAAAGTGGCTTCTAAAAATAGGGGAAAAGCAGAGCGCAAAGAAACTCCAACTGCATAGGATCCAGTGTGGATGAATACAATAGTCTATGGGTGGACAACACTTAGGGCAAGCTGATCCAGGAGCTGTAGCGGACTCTATGGTATAAATGAGACAGAGAACAAAAGCACCTCCAAGTGCAGCATCCAAAGCAAATTTTTTAAACCCAAAGTCAGGTCACTCACATTTAAAAGAAGTTAGGAGGATCATCTGTATGTGGGGAAAGCCGAGGGAGTCTAGCAAAACGCCATTAGCGCTGAACATGCCTCCGAATGGGAAGAGAGAGCCAGCCAATCATTCCATCGGTGTAGGTGGGGCACACTGTGGAGTGCGGCGTAGGCGTTGTGACGTCACTCCGGTCCACAATGCAATGCGACACGTTTCAAAGCATGTGCGATGCTTCACACAGGCAACCACTCTGTTCTCAAGCATAAAGGGTATACATAGGAGCCATCTTAAAATATCCACACAGTGAACGAAGGGGGTGGTACTGTTGGAATGGAGGACTACTAGATCCAGCAGAACAATTACAACTTAAAAACTCTTATAGAAACATGTAAAACATATTATTACAATATAAAATAAATTAGAGTACAACCAACCGGCTTTCCCCACATAGGGATGAGGCTGTTAACTTCTTTTAAATGTGAGTGGCCTGATTTTGGGTTTTAATAAATTTGCTTTGGATACTGCGCTTAGAGGCGCTTTTCTTCTCTGTTTCAGAAAGTGGCTTCTAATAGAACATTTTAGTTTCAACCAAAATAATCCCATGACACGAGGGACCGAGCTTTATGAAAAAATGTCCTCTTTTTTTGTAGCTAGAGCAGCAAGATGTCTAAGGCATCAGGCAAGGGGGATTGTAAGGGCACAAAGAACCCACTCAACAGTAATGGTTATCAGTCTACTGCCCCTTCCCAACTAAGGGTGCTCTCAGGCTTTAACAGTGCCCTGTTACCGTTCACCCCCTTGGTCTGGTTCATTTGTATAAGGTGATTGCCTCAAACTGTGCCTGGGAACAGTCAAGCATGCCATACCTGGGACCACTTGGAAGATGAGGTCCCGGGCACGGTTCGCTTGTGGTCTGGTACAGTTTGCTCCAGTGTGAACTCTCCATAGACCACTGAGCACAGAAGCAGGGGTCACTGTGGTCTGGTTTGCAGAGGTTCTTCATGGTTCATGACGAAGTGAGTTCAGTGATCCACGGAACATGTTGACAGTCTGCCTGGACCCACCATGTGACCAGCATGTAAAATATCAGTGGGCAATAAACTTTCTTAGATATACGTATATTATGCTGAAGGGTGTGGTGGTGCAATCAGGGTATTGTGTGAAAGGATTGTATATTTCAATTGGTATATGTTAGGAAAGAATGTTATGCTATGCGAATTATAAAAGTACCTTACGTTTTAATGGTAGAATAATCATTTTTAACCAATAACAATAAAGGAGCCAACTAACCTACCAGCATGTCTTTGGAGTGTGGGAGGAAACCGGAGTACCCGGAGGAAACCCATGCAGCCACAGGGAGAACATGCAAACTCCAGGCAGGTAGTGGCTTGGTTAGAATTCGAACAAATGGCCCTAGTGCTGCCAGGCAGAAGTGCTAACCACTTATCCACTGTGCTGCCCCACAGTCTTCTGGCTTGGGTGGGGAGGGATGTGAAAGCTCTGCTCTATTCAGGTAAAAGGACAGTAGAGCACCCGCTTGTAGGTTCATATTTCTAAATATACAGGATATAATAAAATCCTGAGAATTTCTGCAATTAAGGTATTTGGATTGATAGGAATTTCGTCTGTCTGGAGTTCTGCTGTAACAAAAGTTGCTGCTTGCCCTTTGCTCTGCATTTAATATATCAGGTGATTATTTCTTTTATTAGGCTTTTTTTCTATTTTTATGTATTTTCAGGAGTCCTGGCTTTCTTCTTTTTCACAAGACGAATACCTTACATTTCTGATGAAGCTCCTTCTTTGAATTACTACTGGGTGCCACTCTTGGTAAGTCACTTTAATAGGTACAGAAGCACTCTGCAGATCTTGCTCTTCTCTACACCTTCTCTAGACAGAATCACATAAGGAATGATCCGTGGATCTAGTTTAGTTTCCTATCCTTCCCAGAGATGACTTTCCTTCAGTACTCCTGATCTATGGAAATCGTGTTGTAAGATGCCATAGAGAACAGTGGCTGTGCTTGTCATGAGCTAGAGACATAGGCTCCCGTTATTCCCTGTGGCATCATCTGATACATGCACAGACTGTAGGAAAGACTGGTAGATCCTGATAAATCATTTTTAGAAAGTTGGTTGGGTACAGCTAGAGTTTTTGATGATATCCATGTGTGAAGTGTGAAAAAAAAAAGACAATTTATTGATGATGCCGACATGCAGAGTACATATACAACAGACTTGTACTGATCCACAGAAAAAAAAGAGAAATCTCAGCCACCGCACACCATGCAAGACCAGAGTGTAATAGGTTATAGCAGCCTCAGCCTAACTCCATTCAGTCCTCGCTCCATGACATGTTTTACCCCACCCATGCCCATGACTAAGACCCGTGGGTGGGGTGAAACATGTCAGCAGCCTCAGCCTAACTCCATTCAGTCCATGCTCCCTGACATGTTTTACCCCACCCATGCCCATGATTAAGACCCGTGGGTGGGGTGAAACATGTCAGCAGCTTCAGCCTAACTCTATTCAGTCCTGAAAACATCACAGCACCCTGCCTCAGTACTCTTCTCAAGAGCCCTCAGCAGTGGGTTGGCTTTTGGGAAGGGTCATGCAAATATAAAAAAATGCCTTGATGGGTGGGTATCAACCTGGAGGAGTGGGTGTTCCTAGGCAGACTGCATTTGCTTGCATGCTACTCTTGCTAATGTCTATATGTGATGCTGAGACTCCATCACTGAGACAATATAGTCTTCATAATTAAACAGTAGAGGAAGCAACTGAACATGTTCTCCACAGCAACCAATCAGATTCCAGATTTCTTTTTAATGTTAGCAAAAGACAAGTTTTAATTGGTAATTAAGGGTAACACAGACACCTTTTTATCTCTTACCCTTGGTTCACAGATCCACGTTCCTGCTGTCCACGTTTTGCGTGGGCACGAGAGCCCATTCATTTGAATGGACTCCAGTGCCTCAGGACATGCAGGGAAGAAGTCCCTGCACTTCTTCTGAAAACGAAGCCCGCACGGGAACCTCGGTTCCCAGTACGGTTGCAATTTTCAGTGCGGGCAGCGTGCTATTAGAATTAATGGCACCCACCCGCTGGTCCACATTCCTCTGTACGGGTGGTGCGGTAGCACAGATTTTTGTGCAGATCCGCAGCAGCACCACCCACACATACAGTCAGGTCCATAAATATTGGGACATCGACACAATTCTAACATTTTTGGCTCTGTACATTACCACAATGGATTTGAAATGAAACAAACAAGATGCGCGTTAACTGCAGACTGTCAGCTTTTATTTGAGGGTATTTACATCCAAATCAGGTGAACGGTGTAGGAATTACAACAGTTTGCATATGTGCCTCCCACTTGTTAATGGACCAAAAGTAATGGGACAATTGGCTTCTCAGCTGTTCCATGGCCAGGTGTGTGTTATTCCTTCATTATCCCAATTACAATGAGCAGATAAAAGGTCCAGAGTTCATTTCAAGTGTGCTATTTGCATTTGGAATCTGTTGCTGTCAACTCTCAAGATGAGATCCAAAGAGCTGTCACTATCAGTGAAGCAAGCCATCATTAGGCTGAAAAAACAAAACAAACCCATCAGAGAGATAGCAAAAACATTAGGCGTGGCCAAAACAACTGTTTGGAACATTCTTAAAAAAGAAGGAACACACCGGTGAGCTCAGCAACACCAAAACACCCGAAAGACCACGGAAAACAACTGTGGTGGATGACCGAAGAATTCTTTCCCTGGTGAAGAAAACACCCTTCACAACAGTTGGCCAGATCAAAAACACTCTCCAGGAGGTAGGTGTATGTGTGTCAAAGTCAACAATCAAGAGAAGACTTCACCAGAGTGAATACAGAGGGTTCACCACAAGATGTAAACCATTGGTGAGCCTCAAAAACAGGAAAGCCAGATTAGAGTTTGCCAAACGACATCTAAAAAAGCCTTCACAGTTCTGGAACAATATCCTATAGACAGATGAGGCCAAGATCAACTTATACCAGAGTGATGGGAAGAGAAGAGTATGGAGAAGGAAAGGAACTGCTCATGATCCTAAGCATACCACCTCATCAGTGAAGCATGGTGGTGGTAGTGTCACGGCGTGGGCATGTATGGCTGCCAATGGAACTGCTTCTCTTGTATTTATTGATGATGTGACTGCTGACAAAAGCAGCAGGATGAATTCTGAAGTGTTTCGGGAATATTATCTGCTCATATTCAGCCAAATGCTTCAGAACCCATTGGACGCCACTTCACAGTGCAGATGGACAATGACCCAAAGCATACTGCAAAAGCAACCAAAGAGTTTTTTAAGGGAAAGAAGTGGAATGTTATGCAATGGCCAAGTCAATCACCTGACCTGAATCCGATTTAGCATGCATTTCACTTGCTGAAGACAAAACTGAAGGGAAAATGCCCCAAGAACAAGCAGGAACTGAAGACAGTTGCAGTAGAGGCCTGGCAGAGCATCACCAGGGATGAAACCCAGCGTCTGGTGATGTCTAAGCGTTCCAAACTTCAGGCTGTAATTGACTGCAAAGGATTTGCAACCAAGTATTAAAAAGTGAAAGTTTGATTTATGATTATTATTCTGTCCCATTACTTTTGGTCCCTTAACAAGTGGGAGGCACATATGCAAACTGTTGTAATTCCTACACCGTTCACCTGATTTGGATGTAAATACCCTCAAATTAAAGCTGACAGTCTGCAGTTAAAGCACATCTTGTTCGTTTCATTTCAAATCCATTGTGGTGGTGTATAGAGCCAAAAATGTTAGAATTGTGTAGATGTCCCAATATTTATGGACCTGACTGTATGTGAACCTAGCCTTAGATTTTAAAATGTATCCCTACACCCCGGTCACACCGATCCCGACTCCCTATTTACAGTGAAGTCACACGATTTCAAAGTCGGATGTCATGCCAATTTGAGGTGCGATTTGCAAGATATCTGACACCGATGTCTATGCAAATCGCACCAAAAGTAGTGTGTGCAGTTCTGACTTGCTCCGCTGTAATTGCGGACAATAGGGTGTGACTTGGCATGCGATTTGCAAGTCGCACTCAGTATGACTGCGTTCTAATGCACAAACAAACACTTTAGATTTGCATTGTACAGGTTTGAGCAATACTTACACTTCAGTATATTTTAAAATTCCACTGCTGTAAAGTGATAGAGATCATTCTGTTATAGTAAATTGTCATTGTGATATCATTTATTTTCCTTCCCTGCAGACAGTGATTATTGGATCTTACCTAATCGCACATGGATTCTTCAGCGTCTATGCCATGTGTGTCGACACACTTTTCCTGTGTTTTTGTAAGTATTACAATTTATAAGGGAAACCCATCACCCCAAGCAAAGTACCGTCAGCCGATTTTGATAATTCCCGACTTTCTGACAAAAGAAATTTTGCAGCTAGGCTTGGAACAAGCTTACTGTAACTCCCTCGAAGACTGAAATGATCCTAAGTCAAAGTTGAGAGGAAGAGCAAGAGAGGGAGTGAGGAGAGCTGAGCTGCTATTTTACTGCTGAGAGGGAAACAGGGTGAGCTGGGTTGCTGAGTTGCTGCTGGGAGGGGAGCAGAATAAGCTGAGTCTCAGCAGGGCAAGCTGAGCTACTGGGTAAGTGCTTGGAGGGAAGCAGGGTGAGCTGATCTACTGGGTAAGTGCTTGGAGGGAAGCAGGGTGAGCTGAGCTACTGGGTAAGTGCTTGGAGGGAAGCAGGGTGAGCTGATCTACTGGGTAAGTGCTTGGAGGGAAGCAGGGTGAGCTGAGCTACTGGGTAAGTGCTTGGAGGGAAGCAGGGTGAGCTGAGCTACTGGGTAAGTGCTGGTGGTTAGAAGCAGGGTGACTGAGCTACTGGGTAAGTGCTTGGTGGGAAGCAGGGTGAGCTGAGCTACTGGGTAAGTGCTTGGAGGGAAGCAGGGTGAGCTTGAGCTACTGGGTAAGTGCTTGGTTAGAAGCAGGGTGAGCTGAGCTACTGGGTAAGTGCTTGGTGGGAAGCAGGGTGATTTGAGCTACTGGGTAAGTGCTTGGTGGGAAGCAGGGTAAGCTGAGCTACTGGGTAAGTGCTTGGAGGGAAGCAGGGTGACTTGAGCTACTGGGTAAGTGCTTGGTGGGAAGCAGGGTGAGCTGAGCTACTGGGTAAGTGCTTGGAGGGAAGCAGGGTAAGCTGAGCTACTGGGTAAGTGCTTGAAGGGAAGCAGGGTAAGCTGAGCTACTGGGTAAGTGCTTGGAGGCAAGCAGGGTGAGCTGAGCTACTGGGTAAGTGCTTGAAGGGAAGCAGGGTAAGCTGAGCTACTGGGTAAGTGCTTGGAAGGAAGCAGGGTGAGCTGAGCTACTGGGTAAGTGCTTGGAGGGAAGCAGGGTGAGCTGAGCTGTTGATTCACCAGTTTGATTGGAGAGAAGAGGTAGCTGAACAGCTGAGTCATTGCTGGGAATGGGCAACAGGGGATGCTGAGCTGATGTGGGAAAGACCTCGGACCACTTCAGTGCTTTTGATGTGAACTGTTCCACAGTGCCTGCAGCTACTGAGGTCAGTGAGGGCTTGTTTTAAAGCTCGCTTTTCTGCTACAATGTGACTTCCAGGTTATAAGTATCTAAAAGCAGAGTAATGGACTTGGCTGTTAGTATTTCATGTCTGCTTTCACTGTGATGTAGTTTGCACTATATGACATTAGAGTCTGCACTATAAGTCCATATAGTTCCTCTGTATATAAAACATTATTTCTCTTCCTTATCTTCCTTATACTCCAGCAAGGATGGAGCAATTAGAAATTGCTATTTTCATTGCATATAAAATTTCATAAATTGTATAGATGTTTGTGGATTCACAAATTGTGATCATATTGATGTTCCAGTAAAATCTCATGGAAGGAGCATAGTATGGAGTCAGCCCACCAGTTCTCGATAGCTTTTTTGCGCTGCCTGTTTCTGCTTTCTTGTCCGTATTTGTATTTTCGTTGTTCTACTTTCTTGCTGTTTCTTCGTATGCAACAAATGAATCCCCAGCCAGTGGGTCTTATTCTATAAAATATCTTAGACCAAAATGTAGTTTAAAATATAAAGTCAACTTGTCTTCACTCGGTAAGTAAAAATTCTGCCAAGGATGAGGCACAACAATGTGTCTTCTTTGAGGTTACTTTCAATTCATATTGGAGGCTTCAACTTCTCGACTTGAGACTTAAGCCTGCCCAGCCATAGTGATAAGCCCCAACCAGATGTCAGCCCTCTATCCATTTAGAATGTGTCAATGGCAAGTAAGGCATTTTCATTGGATAGGGGTCTGCTGGATTGGCAGGACTTGGTACCATGTATGGGCAGGGCTCAAGTCAAATATTGGAGCCTACAAGAGTAAAGTGAAAGTCAACCCTGGTGGGACAACAATGGGGCTCTTCTGAAGAAGAAAGGTAATAGACACCTTGTAATGCCTGCTTAAAGTGTATTTAAAGCCTAACAATGAACTTCTCTCATGTTGGTCCATTTTAAATATGCCATTGAAATTGTTTTGTTATATCTGCTTGATAAGTTTAAAAAAACTGTTAATCCTGCCAGAAACCTTCTGTGCTGAAAGCTTCTTGCACTCTCCGTCTGTGCTGACTGTTATCAGTTACATTGTTTTTAGTTAACTTTTAGGATTACAGAACCACACATTGTTCTGTAATCCTAATCTGTAATGTTGAATAGACTAGAAAAAGGGGTGGGGTCAGGGGCGGACTGACCATTTGGAAACTCGGGCACTGCCCGAGGGCCCGGGGTCAGTGGAAGGCCCCATGAGATGCCCCTGGTACCTTTTTCATAGGCTTTTTTGAGTTTGGGCAAGGACACAGGGGCCCCATGATCCCCTATTGCCCGGGGGCCCCATGAGTTGTCAGTCCGCCCCTGGGTGGGGTACTTTGGTCTTATTTTATTTCTGATGTCCGGATACAGAAGGGTGAGTGAGTATGGTCACCCTAGGACAGGAAATGGCAGAATCACCAGGTGAAAATAAAGAGAGCCTGAAAAAAAGAAAACAAATGCAGCCACCACATCAAAAGACTGAAAAACTGCAATATATGTTTGTTTTTCGGTTACGGCAGCTTGTTTGGTTTTAGAGTGAATGGCATGCCCACTTAAAGCTAATTATTAAAATGTTCATAAATTAAAGTATACCTTAAGGCAAAACTTTTTTAGTTTTAGATAGAGTGGAGAGGGATTAGAACCCCTGTCATTTTGTATTGCTATCTCTGTCCCCATTAAAGCGGAGTTCCAGTCACTAATAATTAGTAAGCAGCTACAAAAACTGTAGCTGCTGAATTTTAAAAAACAGCTACTCACCTGACCTAGGATCACGCGGTGTCCTCCCCGCAGCCCTTTTGATTGGCTGCCTGGTGTTCCCGGCACCAGCATCTTCAGTGTGGGCACTCGGCTGTGACAGCTTGTAGCTTCACAGCCAGGTGCCCACTGTGCATGCGTAAGTAGTGCTGCACTTTCTGAATGGTCCTGAAGACTTCTGGGACATTTCACGTGTCCCAGAAAACTACGAGGAAGGGGGAGGGAGGACAACTTCTGATTCTGATCGCCTAGGCGAATGCAGCGGACGTTGGAGCGGGTACATGTCAATTTCGGGTATCCATTTCCCCCCCGCTCATCGCTCCCCGCCAATCTTTAATGGGGAGCTGGAGACCAGTCCTTAAAGCAGAACTTCCCTATTATTCAGGGGGAGCTCCGCTTTAAAGAGATTGACCCTCTCTATTTGTCCTGATTACCATTATCATTGAAAGTGAAAGTAAAAGAAAATTCCAAATTTTGGGTTGGCCTCAGAAAAATAACAGAGGAGAAATCTTGTGACCTGGGGGTCCCCAAGGAATTTCCTTAATTTGCAGGAATTGGCTATGGGATAGGAAGTGAAGGGAAATCTCCACAATGGGACACAGATGGTGAAAAAAAATCTGACAGCCGTTTTAACCCTCCCTTGCTCTAGTCACAAAAAAAAGTTTTGCCTATGGCTTTGCTTTAAAATAACATTTTTTAAAATATCACTGTAACAATAAATAAGATCATGTAAGACACAAACAATAAATAAATTTTGGCCTAAATTTATGACAAAATGTGATTTTTAATTTTTTTACTGGACATGTTTAACCCCCCTGGTGGTATTCCCGAGTGTAGCTCGGGGTAAAGTTTCAGCACCACAAGCGGTAACCCCGAGCTACACTCAGGATTACCCTGCAGCATTACTCCGGAATCTCTTCTTCACTTACCATGTCCTGCGCTCCTGCGATGTCCCTCCTGCAGTGTCCCCAGCAATGTCCTCCGGCGGATGCCGGCATCTGTCTTCTGGGTTCCGTCCCCTGCGACGTCAGGACGTATGGAGATGGAACGGCGGGAAATTAAAAAATGTGAAAAAGTGACATTCACTAAATACACTAAAATCACATAGTATAACATTCCTGTATCAACCCATTTCACATACATTTTGTCCCGAGTGCTTTGTCCTGTGCCCTGCCTGCATTTTTACTGTTCTTTCTGCCTGGAAACTGAGAAAAGTCCATGGCGTCCAAAAAGCGTCCCTTTAGGTCAAAAGTGGTTTTAGACCGGCTAGAGAACAGCGATAGTAAATTAGAATTGCAGAATTGAGTGATAATGATTCGTGGGGGGAAATTCGTCATCAGACACTGAAAACGATTTTGCGACTTTGTTCAGTGATGTGCGAACTTGGCGCTATATTTCAAATTTCAGTGTTTTTGGTTTGATTATATTATTGAATTAAATTTATTATTATATTATTATTTTTATGATTATTTATTAAATTATAATTTATGATTTCGTGTTTCAAATTTTAACCTACCCGGGATGTTTACTAGACTCTTGTTTGGACAGATTTCAGGGAGTTATTCCTAAAAATTACAGGCCTACAATTAAAAAACAACATATTTCCATGCAAAAAAATGTACCTCTTTGAGCACAGAAATATGGAAATAATCAGACCGCTAGGAAGGCTATTAGGAAAAAGTAAAAAATAAATATTTTTCAAAATTGTCTGCCTTTTTTTGTTTATAGTGCAAAAAATAAAAAAATGCAGAGGTGATCAAATACCACCAAAAGAAAGCTCTATTTGTGGGGAAAAAAAGGACGTACGTTTAATTTGGGTGCAGCGTTGCATGACTGTGCCATTGTCAATTAAAGTAATGCAGCACAAAAAAGAGGGTAAATCCTCTGGAGGGCAAGTGGTTAAAGTGCAAGTAAACTCCTTTTTACCCAGAGGCGTAGCTGGGGGGGGCAGGGGGGTACATATGTACCCGGGCGCCAAGGTACAGGGGCGCCAAAATGAGGCTTACAACGGAAGGGACACTTAGAAAAGGGCGGGCAGCGGGCTGCTGTGTCTTACCTGGCTCCGTGTCCCAGTCCCATGACGATCCAGTCCAGGAGGTGCTGCTAGAGGAGGGGTAGAGAGGTCCGCAGGTCCGGTGTCTTCTTAGTGCCCCATCATTGGTGTCACTGATGTGATTAAACGGGGAGGGGGGCTGGGGTGCCAATTTTATAGTTCGTCCCCGGGCACAAAATATCCTAGCTACGCCTCTGATTGTACCTACAGGTAAGCCTTTAATAAGGCTTACCTGTAGGTACTGTACATATCTCCTAAACGTGCGCCGTTTAGGAGATATTTACTTTAGAAGCTTTTGCCATCCATTGAGAGAGCTGTGCCACGGCCCAAACTCCCTGATGACTTCACGGCCCGGCCAATCAGCCGCAACTCACAAACCCAGAAGGAAGACAGAAGGTGGAAGCCTCAGGGAGCCGTGACAGTGCTCCACTGGAGGGCTTTGTTTTCAGGTAAGTCATTCATAATGTGCTAGTATGCAATGTTTACTAGCACATTATGCTCTTAGCTTGCAGAGAGAAGATTTTTTAGAATTATTTTTTCATGGTTTACTACCGCTTTAAAGCTATTTTTGTGTAGTGCATGCACCATAGTTTGGTTGATCCAAAGTAGAATAAAATCAACCCAAGGTTGATCCAAAGAAGGCAATACCTTCTTGGGTCCTAATGGCAGTTAGATAAATTGTAATTCTGTTAACAGGTATTACATCAAACCCTGTTAATTATTACATTGTGTACATAGTCAATACTCTTTTTTTTATAGGTTTGGATAGAGTGCAGAGGGAATAAAACGACTGTCAGTTTATTTTGTGTTTTCTGTATAGAAACAACAGGAAGTGAGAGAAATTTGTCCCCATGGGTAGATTTCAAACCAATTCCTGTTCTAATAAAAACTCTAGAATATTTTATTTCCAACCCCTAGTTTTCATCAGCAGGACAAATATAGAGGGTGAGTTCCTCAGTGGGGACACTATCATGGTCTCTAATACATCACTTCTCTATTAAAGACTAAAAAAGAAAGTATTGGCTATACATAGACTTTATTTGCAAGCTATGAAAGATTTACACATGTATTATGAAAAATGAAGTAATTCAATATGTTTTATAGAATGATCTCCACTGGCTTGGCTAAGAGTTACAACACTTGGTTTATTTGTAGAGATTTATCCATCTGTATCTGAAATCTAGTAAGTATTTAAAGTCAACTCCAGGTTAGTTTTGAACCTCGAGTCAATCCCCTTTTCTGCACCTACTTTTAAAAAAGTCCCAGAATACATGCATAATTTCAAGCATCTTCTGGTTGGTCATGTAATGAGTGTGGTCCTTCCTCTTCTTTCTTGCCATTGGTGGCCATGTGTGATGTGTGTGTCCCATTCTCTGCAGTCTTCATTCTCTTGTGTGCCCAGTTTGTCTAATGACTCAATCCCTAAGGGTGTGTCCATGAAAGCCTGGGAAGTTGGTTGAACGATTCTGAGTGTCTTTCATGCTTGAACGGGATGCAGAAGGCAATGATGGATTGTGAAGTGCTTGAAAAAAAATACTTTTTAAAAGGAGACACAGGAGAACCATTTTAAAAAAATATATACAGTATCTAAACCTGGAGTTGGTCTTTAAATAACTGTCACCTGTCACGTGATACACAAAGCTTCTGTCTAGATCTACAAACTCTACTCATTTTCCTACTTCTTTTCTCTTTCTTTCCTGCCACTTGCTACTGCCCTTTCACTTTCAGGCGAAGACCTGGAGAGGAATAACGGATCTGCATCCAAACCGTACTACATGTCACCAGAGCTGCATAGGATTCTGGGAAAAAAGGAACTTAGCTCAAAGAAGGCAAAGCGCTAATTTATTGCACTGGCTTTCTCTAACAGAACGCACCTTTAACCCAATAACTGAGCTTTGAAGAGGCACATGAAGGTTGGAGAAGATTTGACCATGTGGCTTTAGTGGTCCAAAAGGTTGGGGTGGTGGTGATGTGTTTACATAAGATGGTGAGGCTTTATCAGTGAGGGAAATGAGAAAGGACCTGGTGGTCAAGCTGTTGAGCTAGTAACCACTAGTAGGATAGAATCACAAAGTGAGGATCATCTTTTGAGGCAGCTTAGGTGGGATCGGATGAGAAGGACCTTTTAGTGAGGAAGACGTTAGGTGGGCAATTTTTGTTTGAGAAACCATTTGGCAAGGAAATTTTTGCTACTAAGGACCTTTAAGGAATGTTGAGTGACTTGGGACCATGTATGAAAAGATTTTAGCAAGGGCTTTCCAATCAAGCAGGTCACCAAGCTCTAATACCGAAGAGGTCCTCAAGATATACCAAGGAGGTCCTCAAACTTGGATATGTAAATCTTATGACAAAAAATGTTACATTTTAGTGCCTATGAACAGGAGAAATGTTAATATTATATATAGCTTTTCCTAAAATTGCTTTTAGGATTTTAATATTTTTATAAAGCTGGTTTCTGTATAAAAGGAATTGAACTTTTTTTATATCTAACCTTTCACTTTTCATAGAGAAAAAAATACTTGACATAAATGGTACATTGATAAAATTAGCCATATCCTGATTTGGTTTCTGTTTTTTTTCTTCGTTGTGTTTTTCTCGGCGTGAGAGGTTTGGCTAGCAATCTTTACTATCTCTGAACATTTGGTGCTAGGAAACATTTGCACTTCACAGCTCTACCATATAAACTGTGATTTAAAATTCTCAAGTAGAATGCAAAGAAAAAAGTCACCTCTAAATAAGTGCATGTTTGTAGTCGGAACATATTTCTCTGTATTATTTGCAAGTTGTTGCTTGAATGTTCATTTTATGGCACTTCTGTTGTCTACATATAGGGCCCATGGCCAATTTGTATGGCATACATAATGGCCGTGATTGTATGGTGGACAATCTGTTTCTTTTATGGCAAAAGTGGCACTGCAGAGCCAAAAGTATTGATGGGTCCATTTTATAAAAAATACTTAAAAACGAAAGTGTCTGTTTCTTACAGTAGCCAGTCAAAATATTCAGTGCATTTTTTTTTACTTACAATAAACAAAAAGCAGCTTGGTTATGATTGGTTGCTCCGGGCAAACTCTGTTATTGCAGTCACATTTCTTTTGTACATTGAAGATACACTATATTGCCAAAAGTATTGGGCCAGACCTCCAAATCATTGGATTCAGGTGTTCCAATCACCTCCATGGCCACAGGTTTATAAGATCAAGCACATAGGCATACAGTCTGCTTCTACAAACATTTGTGAAAGAATGGGTCGCTCTCAGGAGCTCAGTGAATTCAAGCGTGGTACCGTGATAGGTTGCCACCTGTGCAATAAGTCCATCCGTGAAATCTCCTGGCTGCTTAATATTCCACGATCAACTGTTAGTGGGATTATAACAAAGTGGAAGCAACTGGGAACAGCAACTCAGCCACGAAGTGGTAGGCAGCGTAAAATGACAGAGCGGGGTCAGTGCATGCTGATGCGCACAGAGGGCAGAAGTCACCAACTGTCTGCAGAGTCAATAGGTAAAGACTTCCAAACTTCATGTGACCTTCAGGTTAGCACAACAACAGTGTGTAGAGAGCTTCATGGAATGGGTTTCCATGGCCAAGAAGCTGCATCCAAGCTTTACATCACCAAGTGCAATGCAAAGCATCGGATGCCGTGGTGTAAAAGATGCCTCCACTGGACTCTAGAGCAGTGGAGTTGTGTTCTCTGGAGTGACAAATCACGCTTCTCTGTCTGGCAATCTGATGAATGTGTCTGGGTTTGGCAGTTGCCAGGAGAACGGTACTTGCCTGACTGCATTGTGCCAAGTGTAGAGTTTGGTGGTGGGAGGATTATGGTGTGGGGTTGTTTTTCAGGGGTTGGGCTTGGTCCCCTAGTTCCAGTGAAGCACCAGCATACCAAGACATTTTGGACAATTTCATGCTCCCAACTTTGTGGGAACAGTTTGGCGATGGCCCCTTCCTGTTCCAACATGACTGCGCACCAGTGCACAAAGCAAGGTCCATAAAGACATGGATGACTGAGATTGGGGTGGAGGAACTTGACTGGCCTGCACAGAGTCCTGAGCCCAACCTGATAAAACACCTTTGGGATGAATTAGAGCGGAGACTGCGAGCCATTCCTTCACGTCCGACATCAGTGCCTGACCTCACAAATGTGCTTCTAGAAGAATGGTCAAACCTTCCCATAGACACCCTCCTAAACCTTGTGGATGGCCTTCCCAGAAGAGTTGAAGCTGTTATAGCTGCAAAGGGCGGGCCAACTCAATATTGAACCCTACGGACTAAGACTGGGATACCATTAAGTTCATGTGTGCGTAAAGGTAGGCGCCCCAATACTTTTATACAATATAGTGTATGTTGAAAGGAACCTTAGGTTTCATGACCGTCTGAAGAGCTTAAGGTCCAGTGATATTATCATGATAATGAATTAGTTGGCTAAATAGCATGAATGGTAAACTGACCTGGAACGTGGCTGCTTGCTTTGCTTGTGTGTAACTGCTTGTAGTTTTTATGTACAGCAGAGATGACATTAATACAAATGCTTTAAAACCTGAAACAGAAGTTTAACCTTTTGCTGCCCACGTACCAAAATGCAGTGGCAAAAAGGGAAGGTTTTAAAGCTGAATTCCAGGAATTCAGCCACTTTGTAAAAAGTCAAGGCACGCTATGAGTTAAGTCCGAGGAGCTGCATGTCATCTCCTGGGCTTATCTCTATTATTTACATTTGACAGGTTTATTGCTCTGAAGTACACTGAGCAGCTATGTCCTCCCCTCCCGTCTGCTGCCCATTCACAGAAGCCTTTCTATTTTGTGAACGTGTTCACATAATATTAAGGCTTCTGTGATTGGGGGGGGGGGGGGGATAGCAGCTGCAACAACTCTCCTATTCAAGATGCAGAGCTCAAAAGGATGTCATTCTCCTGGAAACAAAGCAATAGCTGTCTTCTGGGAGTACCATAAAGCTGTCAGATATAAATAGAGCTAATCCCAGGAGGTGTCATGCACCTTGCTGGACTTACCTTATAGCGTGCCTTCATTTTGTACAAAGGAGCTGAATTTCTGTAATTCAGGTTTAATGCTCAAACACCACACATAAGCATCCATGGACAGGCAGGGTTTCTGTGCTGAGAGCAAGATCACTGCGCTTGTAACACAGTGACCGTGCTGTTGTAGACGTCTTCTGGTCATTAGTAATGATTGAGCGGGACCAGCTTCAGATCATGTGAGTACAGTGTCAGCCAATCACCGTGGTCACATGATTGGGCAGTCCTTTCCAACCCCGGACATAAAGACTTAGTTAATGGGTCGCCGGGACTGGGCTGGAAGTGTTTAATTCAGTTAAATACATGTCAGATGCATCAAAACAAAGGTCTTACAGCTTGGTGTCTGTAGGGAAATGGAAAGGCCTGCTCCCTGCCTGTGTGATACAGAGAAAGACTAGAAGCAAAATTATATAAAAAAAAGCAGATTTTTAATGGAACCATCAGGAGACCAAAATATGCATATAATCATAACAGTACAATTGTTTTATTTGTTGAATAATAAAAGTTCCAAATCAAGGAATGCATCAATCAAAATAAAATGTATATAAAGTATGACAGTTGTAGTGCCTAAATGTATAGTTGATCTGTCAATGCATTTCATGGGACCTGCTTCATCAGGACAGAGGTGCTGATCTTCAAAATGTTGACATGCAATAAAACAAACAATCATAAAGATAAAGGAATCAGATATTCCAAGAGAATATAACAAAAAAATCACATATTAAATTAACATACCCACTAAGTCAGATAGCTCTACAATCAGCAGCAAGGGAGTATGAGCTTTGCCGATTGGAGTAGACTGGCTCCAATGGAACTCTCTAGAGAAAGAACTACTTCCACGCAGACCAAAAGTCCTTTCTGCACCATCCTGGCAAGGGACAGGCTTTTCTATTCAGGCTGTGGTTATTTCCAAAGAAAACAAAAACTGTAAGACTCCACACGTTTCGTTTTAATGCACCTAAAATAAATATAGCATAGTTAAACTGAAAATTCAATAGGGCTTAAAAATGGAAGTCCAGGCTTTTCATAACGAAGTTTAAACCTGCTCCAACCATCCTTCTAACTACCCTGTAAAACAAAGATGCCTGTACTTTCCTATTCTTAGGGCACTCCAGTCTAGTCATATGATCAGTTCCCAGTGGCAAATTGTCATGCTTACCCCTAACGCAGGTGGTCAGGCACTATAGCTGGGTGCTATGTTCTTAACCTGTAGCTGCCCCCTTTCCCTTAAGGCAAGCAGGCTTACCGGTACTCAGTTCCCCCAGGACTTTTAACACAGTGCTATAGTGCCTGGCCAACATGCCGGGGCAGGAGCAAACTGAGCACAGCAAACAGGTACTTGCAATTGGCAGTCAGGCAGAGGGATTCAATGATAGTCCAGGTACAAGGCAAGCAAGGTTCAGAATAGTCAGGGTCAAATCCATAGTCAAAATATAGGCAGAGTTCAGAGAAAAGTCGATATCCAATCTGAGGTTGTAAACGAGGGAATCCAAACAGCAGACAAACAGGGAGCTTGAGCACGTGTAACCAGCGCTATCACATGCATGAGGCTGCAGGCTTGGCTGGCTTAAATCAGTTTTGGTTTCCACCCAGAGATTGGCCACATCAATCGCCTTGAAGATGGACACACAGGGAGAATGTATTACCAAAGCCAAAACCAAGATCAGCCAGCAGCTACACGCTCCTGACACAACTTCAGCGAAGAGGAGGGACAGCCCACAATGGATGCCCCATAGCAAGCCTATGGGTGACATCACCGCAAAGGCATTTCAGCCGTTGTCAGCAATCTCATCTCTCCCTTGTAGCTG